TATATATATATATTTGACTTACGTTATTAATGAAAAAATCAATATAATTCTACGATAGAAAAATAGTTAAATGATATAAAAATTATTTATAATACTGAAACACATAATACAGCTTTGGTTCATACATTTTCTTACATTGCATATGCAAAAACTTTAGAAAAATCAATAGTAAAAATATAATACGAGACGTAAGTCAAAAAGCAAAATAAAAATAGGAAAATTGTCGTACTAAATAGTCCTCTGTCTTTCCTTCGCAAACGATCTAATTGTTGCTTGTTAATCATAAGGATACGTTGAATCTCTCGCATTTCTCCTTCCAATCTTTCACGAGTCTCTATCGTTAGTAACTTAGATTTCAATAATCCGTTGACTACTGCAACTCGATTCAAAGATCTCTGTACTAGCTTGTCATATTTAAGAACCTAAATGATAAGAAAATATAGGTTATGTCATGAAATCATTTTTAATATACTTATAAATTATTTATATGTTATATATACCTGTATATTGTACGCGTTTTGATACTCGCATGTTAATTCGGAATCCATTCTGCTTCCAATCTTATTTATATTTGGTATAACTTCTTAAATTTCACTTGGAAACTCCATTTTTAATGACAAGTAAAAATAATCAGTTTCGGACTACTTAGAAGAATGCACCACAAACAGTGAGTTCACTGAATTACGTAGTACGTAACACGTATAGATAACTACACAGGCCCGTTCCTATATTTTCTGGGATCCTATGCAAAATGAAAAAAAAAAGTTAATATGAAAAATATTTATCTGTATAAATATTAATTGATATAATAATTAAGCAAAAATTAATCGAATTTCTTTTCTCAATTGTTTACGTTTTGCGGGACCTTTAATAGCGCGGGGTTCCTATAGCCCATAGATACTATCCTGCAACACACTACTATCTCACATATGGCTAGTCATATTGTTATTGCGTAACAAAGTGCTGTTGTGTATACATAAAAATTGTTAATCACAGTGATATTTTTTAGTTAAATAATATTTCATAAATAATTAAAACAAATATTAATCGAATTTTCTTTTTAAAGTTTCTATTTAATATTTATTATTTATTCAGTGATTTTAAGAAAAAGTGACAATATATATGGAATAAAATATAAAATGACACGAAGTACTGAAGTTATTAAAGCTGTTTTAGAACGTATTAGTACATCTAATGGTTTTGGAAAGTGCATGAAAAACGTATGTATATTTCTCTTCTGTCATAGATATTTAAATATCCAAAAATAATGATCAAGTTTCTATGCTCTATTATTTAGGTAAAAATACTTTCTGCAGGGGATGGTAATTGTAAAGCTGAATTTACTGTTTCCGATGAACATTTAAATTTAGGTGGCTCATTACATGGCGGTTTTACAGCAACTATTATCGACTGCATTTCAACTTATGCTTTGATGACATGTGGGACCGGTGCTCCAGGAGTTTCTGTAAACATGAATGTTTCGTAAGATATTTATCTCTTATGTTAATTACAATATTTAGGAGTACGTAGACAAAGATTTGTAACTTGTACATTGATATGTATTATTTGCATCATCATCGTCTTTGATTATTCGCTCTATACAATGCATATTCTGTTAGATTAGATATACATTAATTTTGTTTTTTTAATAATAAGAGTTAGCATAGAGTATAAAAACTATAAAAAAGGGTTTATGTTTCCTTTTATTTATAAGATATATTTATCTAAAGTTTCTTCATTTTACATATGTCAATGGCACAGATACATGAAACCTGCATTTCCTGGTGAAGTGGTTGAAGTTGATGCTAAAACTATACGCGCTGGTCGTACTCTAGCATATCTTGCAGTAGATCTCACCAAAAATAATGGTAAAGATATTATTGCTAACGGAAAGCATATAAAGTTTATCTTATAAAGAAATATCTAAGTTTTTAATAATTATTATGTAATATACTACACACATAAAAAGATATATACATAGATACTTAAAACAAAAACATTTGTGTTCGTCTTGATAATATAATTTTCAGATCAACAATGTATTTGTATAGAATATATTGAAACATTTTTCATAGATTAAAATTAATTTGAAATCTAATCGAAACTATCTGCTGGCGTTTATATTCAATACTTAATACAAGTCACTTTGATATAAAAAGCGAAAAGAAAGATAAAAGATATGGAAAAGTATTTCTTTTTTTTTTGTTTTCTCACATTTCTAATTCGCGTTTCACGTTTTAACTATCATCTTGACTATATTTACAATAAATGCATACAAATTTGGTCTCAATGAAAAGCACGTGCGAAATTTCAAAAGAAATGCATAGAAAAATACATTGAAAAATTATCTAACAAATAATATTACATTAATCGTGTTATTTCAACGTTTTGGCATCGGACAATAACGATTTTAATTCTCTTATCCTCAGCGACAAAGAATTCGCGAATCTTTGTAGTTTTTCAGATTTCTCTTCAACCTCCTCTATCATTTTTTCCAAATAATCTATTTTCTTGCTATCTTTGGGAGAAATTTCTTGTAATTCTAGATCGTTATGCTCGGGCGACAAATATTTGGCAGCGTTTCGTCGGAAACGTGATATGGTGTTACTGTTGTCCTCGCAATTGTCACAGCAATCGGACCACATGCTTAAATCTAAATATGGTATATTATCGCAAGAGGTAAACTTGTTATCATTGTCATTTGGTAATAGAAAGACATTAGGTTGAATGCGATCAATTTTATCGCCATTATCGCAAAGTATTCTTGCCAAGGTAACTTGTTGTATCTGGGCTAATTGTTCAGGTCGGAAATTCGAGGGATTCTCGTACCAAAATCTATCACCATTTCTAATTCGACGAAATTGTTCTATTAGGAGGCATTGAAAGAGAGGGCCAACCTTCGCATCGGGAAGTTGATCCTCGAGAATACCACCAACCCATACATCTATGTTACCAGGATGTCCATAGAGTTCACGAAGTTTTTGTCGTACTTTAGAATCTCTTATATCAACGACTAAATCATCGAAAGTTTCTACGTGGGTCAAGTTGCAGTATTTTCGCCATTCCAAGTAACCTGGGATACCATGATCTCGTGAACGTTGAATATTCATAGCAGCTAGATCCAAGGCTACTGCGTGAGCCGTACGAAAGAGTTGTTCGGTCAATTCAACGTTCAAATTTTGTTCAGGTAATTTAAGTTTAGCTGCTGTAGCATACATTCCTCTTATCAAAGGATCAACACCACCTTCTTCAACTAGTCGCCATGGTGCAAAGAAAGCGTCGCGTAAAGGTAGAGCACCTTGTGGAATAGATTGAAAAGATTCGTTTAATCGTTCTAAACGTGGTTGAATCAAGGAATGACCGAAACGTAGGGCTGCCGTTGCAAAAACATTCGATATACTCGCATCCAAATCAGGATCGTATCTTTTGTAAGGTCCTAAAAGTTTGTCAGTTGTATTACCCAATGCAATTGGTATCCAATGTTGGAAAGTAATGTGTTGCATCTCGGCACCCACGATTCTTCTCGCTTCTTGATACAACTTTTCACCGTTCCAATGTGGATTTAATTCGCGTAATCGACGAGCTATTCTATTGTGTTCTCGTAGCCATATCGTATGCATCGCTAATAAACCTACTTGCTCGTTAGCACGAATATCGCCAGCGACGAAACAATTGATAGAACTTTCTAAAGGATTTCTACGACAGTCGACGAATTGACCAGAAGCATAAGGAAGCAAAGCTTTGCGACCTGGAAATATTGAACCTTCTCGTAATAATCCATGATTCGTTGTTAGATCCCGAAGATCTCGAGCGAGTTCGTCGTCGTAACCGTAAACTTGTGAAGCATCTAAATAGCTGGTAAGTTGGTTCAATTGTTCGCGAGGCATTAAGTGACCCCATAATAAGCTTGTTTCTCCGGAACCACAAACGGCACTGGTCCTAACGAAATCGATGCATCTTCTATTGTTTATACGAGGATCACCGGGTGGTACTTCCATGGGAAAACATGGTGCAGCATTTTCACAAGATTTTTTACAATCTATACCATCCCAAGATTCACTAGATACGGATGGTAGAGCATGATCGAGATCGTGATCCAAAAATTGTCCCCATTGCATCACCATATGAGTGATTCTATCATCAGAAGTGATATCATGCGTTGATATCAAGGTAGTCGAAACGAGACGAGCTGCTGGTTTTGGATATCCATAATAACGACGATCCTTTTGCCATCCTATTGGCATAGAAAATCCATTCTCGTAAATAGGTTGGAGAATTCTTCGAAATCCTGTATACGATGAACCCCAAGTTGGATGCCTAAGATTATTACAACTACCGTCTATACTGCGATACTTGTGATGAAAACATATATTCGTACAATTCTTCTGACTCCTATGACCAGTACATCCAGATAATCTTTCGATTTCTCGTACCTATAAATCAATAATATTACCTCTTGTTATATATTTCGTAAAAATCTATGTACGTGAATACTTAAGATAGTACCTGGTCGGATGTTAGGATTTCTTCGTAACGAAATTCATCAGTAACGTTGGTAGCTACACCAGAATTAACCATACGTCGAATATTAACAAGTGTTCTTTCGAAGAGTTCTGCTGGTCTAGCAGCAGCACGTCCAATCGCATTTGGAAATCGTGCAACTCGAAAAGGATCGACTCGTCGAGATGTACCGTCGCTGTTGAACAAACTTTCCAAGGTCTTATTGATGGCTCTATCTATTTCTTCTGAAGCATCCTTGAACGCTCTTATAACAAGCGCATCTATCGTTCCCACTTGACGAACACGAACGAGAGCTTGAGCGGTTGCACGTCCGTAATCGTTTACGGCCGAACATTCGTATCTATTTTTGATAAAAAAATGTACTACATGCATATAAAAGTTCGAGGCTAACAGTTAGAGGAAAACAAATTCTAAATTAAATTGTTACCTTCCAGTATCTTGAGACGTCACGTTGTATAGATAAAGACTACCAGCACGAGAAATACGAATACGAGCCCTATCACCTGAGATAGTAGCACCATCCTTTTTCCATTGTATTAATGGTTTCGGTTCACCTTCGGCTCTGCAAGGTACTTCGACTATAGCTCCAGGTTCTGCTTCCATGTCGTGAGGTTGATAGGTCAATATCGGCGGACTATATTCGCTAGGTATAACTTCGAGATCAGCGCTGGCCTCCGCGTAACCATTTGAATTGCTAGCACGACAGACGTATCTAGCTGAATCGGATTCTTTAGCTGCTAGAATACGAAGTACCCTTCCATCATCTTCCACTAATATTCGTCCACCAGTAGAAACAAGTAGATCATCGGTCCACCATTGTACAACAGGTCGGGGATAACCCTCGGGTACGCAAACGAATGAAACATCCGATCCAGCTGTTATAGTCTGCGATTCTGGCAATTGACTAAATCTCAATGACGAAGAAATTACCAAAGCTCTAGCTTTTCTCGATTTAGTCGAACCCATGTCGCTACTAGCTATACATTCGTATTCGCCAGTATCTTCCTCAGTGACATCAGCAATTACTAAAGTACCATCGTCTCTAACAGAGAATCGTTCACCATCGACATAAAGTTCGTTGGAGTCTCTCATCCACGTTACTTCTGGTTCCGGATCTCCTATCACTCGACAAGTAAACGTTACTGTATCACCGATCTTAACTTCGGTATCTTCCGGACCCTCCATTATACGTGGTTTTGCTAAAAAGAAAAAAAGAAACGATGACCATCTTTAGTAATGTTATGAAATAATTCGATCAAATTTGTAAATGTTTAAACAACTATTACTCAACTGCAATGAAAATCTCTGGTGGTCATAGTTTTTAACGATTTACCCTTCATCTCGTTAGGATATTGACATATAGCAGCCATTTCATCGGTTGGTCTTTTTTCTAATCTCTCAACCAACCAAAGTAAATTGCAGTCGCAAACGAGTTCATTGCTGTCGAGACGAAGACGTGTCATCGGGCCAACGTTTTTAAATGCATCAGCAGGAAGTCGTTGTAACATGTTGTTGTAAAGAAAGAGACGTTCCAACGATGGCAAATCATTGAAAGTACCTTTGGCTATGTTAGTTAGACGATTGTCATGCAGATAAAGTTGTTCTAATTTCGGTAGATGAGCGAAAGCATTGCTTGATAAATCCTCTATACGATTCTTGTACAATGAAAGGATTCGTAGATTGGCTGCACCATCGAATGCATATGCCGGTATATGTTTAATATGATTATCGTTCAATAGTAGTGTGTGCAAATGCTTTAAACCGTGAAACGTTCCAGCTCGTAGTTCCGCTATATTGTTGAATCTTAAATCCCTGAAAACGAGCAAGGTCATGGTTGGAGTAAAATGAAGGAAGGGGTGTGCCAGGACAATGTTGGGGATTACTATTTCTATTCATTTACGGATCATTTGTTACGAATACTCGCATGATAATGACGTTAAACGATTACCAGACAATCTACGACCTATGACCAACCCAGCCAGTGATCGCAATGATCAAAAGTCATCGTTAATGATAACTTACAAGGCTTTTATGAAAGAATGAATTTTTGAAAAATTGTCAGAGTGTTAGAAACGCAACTAGACAAATTTTTGTATAAATGCAATCTTCTTACACGAGTACGTGTATGCAATAGCATGTAGATATATGACAATATAACTGATATGACAATGATCGAAGAACGATAAAAATGGTGATAAAAATGTTTGTTCTTCGATGTATAAATAAGAGGATCAAGGAAGATATTAGAGATAACCTGATAAGTTATTTATAATAAAGATCTAATCGATCATGTTTAAATAAGATCTCATGGGTTTAAAGATATGATGTTTCATTGACCTAACTGATTGCATTCATTGCAAAAGTCAACTTTTTTTTTTTTCAATATTAATTCGACATGATCAGCGATGTTTAACTGATAGGATGTTATAATGAAAAGATAGAGAAAAAGAGAATAGAGAATGATGATCGGCGAACATACAGAAATAGCGAACATAGTAGGCAACGTATCCAATGCGTGCTTTGTAAAACTACACATGCTTATGCTCTCTCTCACGCGTGCACACACATAGATATATATATATATAAAAAGAAAATTTTAACGACGGTTCTTCGTCACTTCTCGAAATAACGCGTTCATTGTTCCTCCATCAATTTCATTTTTTCTTTCTAATTTTCTAATAGACAATTTTCTTTCGATATTTAATATAATTAATTAGATTCACCGACGATTTAATATTGCAGTAAATCTTATTTTACGAAAAAAAAAATCAATGATGTAATCTACAAAAGAAGGCTCATAAATATTTTACTACATATTGGAGATAACGAATACGAGCATGTTTTAAACGACCAAAAAATGTAACGTAAATGATAATAATAATATATATACATATATATGTATGGATGTAGGATCAATGAATTTTATCAGTTTTTTACTGCTATGATTAAAATTAGGATAAATACTTGAGATAAGATAAACTTGTTATTAATGTTACAGATATATATTTTATAATAATATAGAATGCCAGTTCTATATGCTGAGAATAAAGAATAAATGTGAATTATATTTAAATCATGATTCGTTAATTTTTTATATAATCATCTATTCTTCTCGAACATATGTATTAAACGAATACTGTAAATAACGAATACGATATATTTTGTTAATAACGATTAATTCATTTTAACTAACATGATCATTTTTATTTTTTTAATGATCTAACAATATAACAACGAAATGAAGAATATCACTTACAGATCCGTAGTATTGGCCGGTACTCTTGGTACACGAATTAATTTCTGAAACATACATTTGACGGTTCTCTTTAAGCACATGCACTTGATCGGACATTCTGGTGGTCCGTGTTGTTGGTTGATGTGTCTTCTTTCCGCAACGATGTTTTGTAAAATCGAACACGACAGCACGATCAGAAATAAATAAGATGAAAATAAACGAAGGATATAAAGTTTCCTCATGATCGTATTCGTTGAATATTATATTAGATTAAACAATTCGGTAATAACAATAACTCGATGATAATAATGACGATGATGATGATGATGATGATGATGATGATGATGATGATGATGATAATGATACAGGTTCCACAATTATGTTCATCGAATTCAAAGAAGAATAGGAGAAGAAGAAAAAGAAGAAGAAGAAGAAGAACAAGTAGAAAAAGAATAATAAGAAAGGATACGCAACTTTCTCTCTTGCATGTATCCTTTCACGTATGAAGAATAATATCCCTTTCTCTCTCTCTTCCTCCTCTCTTCTTTTTATTATTATTCTTTTTCTTTTTTATTTGCTTCGTTTGAAACGAAAGTTAATTCCCCACTTATGGGCTCGTCCTCGTTGCCGTTGTCGTGATCGTTGTGCACTACGAGACGAGCCGATACTGAGAGAAAGAGAGATTCCTGTGAGACGAACGGTGGTGGCGTCGTCGTTGCTTGCTTGCTCAAGAGAGACCAAAGAAAGAAAGAGAGAAAGAAAAAGATAGTTAGATGGGGAACGATTAAGAAAGAGGGAGAAGGAAAAAGCACGCGGTGGCTGGCTTGCTTGCTTGCTGTTTGCTGTTTGCTGCTAGCTCGTTTGCTATGCCTTACAACCAACCACACAAACTCAGTTGGATTCTGCTTGCTTCTGCAGCACGAGGAACTCCGGTCCCAAAGCGTTCCGCTTCAAACCTTCCTCTCACTCTTTTTTCTTTCTTCGATCTCACTCTCTCACTCTCTCATTCTGATTCCCTTTTTCTCTTTTTCATCTCTCTTTCTTCGTTACTCTTTAAAACCTCCCACCGACCCACTACGTTCCTTCCAACTAGCCGACGCCCGCTACTCCTGTGCTACGAGTTCCCCTTTTCCACCTACAGGGTGTCCGAATAACCCAGGCTCTCTCTTTCTTTAACCCATTTTCTTTATTATTCATTCAAGGAAAAAGTAATATTATATATTTGGTACGATTAAAATATGATTTTTTTCTTTTTTTTTCTATTTTATTTAACGTTAAACAAAAGATTATTATTTGAAATATTTTCTACCTGTTTTTTTAAAGAATTTATTCATATAGAATGTATTTTATTCAAGAATGTAAAGTGTATTGTGATAACAATGATCAATATAATTGCGTTTTTATATATGCTAATTATGCAAATGAGTTAATTGTTTTTATAAGATTATTTTGTAATACTCTAAAGTAATCAGGATTAATTTTTCATCAATTTATGCTAGTGTTTCTCTTATGTATCGATTAAATTAGATTAACTAAATTATTTTCCAAAGAAAACAAAAATACAATTTTACCATTCGTGTAATTAATTTGTTGCAATAATTTCGTATATTCAAAATGATTTCAATTATTTTTTTAGAAGTCTTTCCAGAAGTTTTCTCTTGACCTTGGACAAAGTGTAATCATATAGCTTGTAAATGTGCAATGGAAATGCAATAATGCAAAATTTCAACCGGTTGAGTATAGGGAAGATTTCGATCAATGGAATGTATTAGAATTTTATATTTAACAAAATATATTTAATACGATATATAAACTTATGAATTACGTAAGTTGAAGTTTAAGAACATAAAGGGACAGTGAATTACAGTTAATATTGGGTATGACGAAAGCGAAAGTGACGTGTGGGATGATATGCGTGTGGTATATATAAACGAATGCTATTTTCCTTTTAATAAAGAACAACTGTATCCCTTGTAAACAATGAAGTTCTATTTTCCATATAGAACAAAGAATGTTCGTGGCTATTTATGCATAAAAATATGAGTACATCTAATTATACGTATGTGCATAAAAGAAGAAGTAGAAGAAGAAAAAAAAGAAATATAAAGTCGAGAAATTCTCATAAACGCAAATCAGGATGATGTGTCGTTAATTTAAAAAGAGGAGGAGGAGGAGGAAAAGAGGGCTACAAAAAAGATAGGCAAAATGAAATAACTGGTTGAACGATATTGCGAATATTCGTTGTCCGTGAATGAGGAGATACACATTTTAGATTAGACATTATGCCGCAGATATTACACAGAGAGAACATGATGAGTAAGAACGTGTACATCTATATATGTATGCGTGAAACTAGAGTTTCGTTGACCCTATTATAACCCACTCTGACCACTCATAAGTCTGACTCTTTTGCCGGTAGAATCTAACGAAGCCGACAATGAACATTTGAAATTTGTTTGCCGGCAAAGCAAAAGAATTACTGACCCCTGTCGTTCGGTTCTTTATTTTTATTTTATTTCTTTTTTCTCTCTCTCTCTCTTTCTGTTTCTCTCGTTGTATGACTCAACTCGAAAGTACATATTTACAGAAAAATTTGACGTTCCTACTTTTATTTTTCATCGTTAAGTTGCCACGAAGAAAGAAACGGTGTAATATCCAAAAATAAAATAAAAAACAAAGGTAACGTTATTTGTCAGAGTGTGATATATATGTTGGAAATTTTTTGGTTTACGTATGAAGAATATGGCGACGGTGATCGTCATCGTGTATAAATTATCCATGATTACATAGTACCACGAAGCCAATATTGAAAAGACGATACGCGTATGTATATATATATATACATATGCGTGTATAATGTATACTTAAATCGTGTGGTCAGGGTGATGATGATTATAGCAATATGTCGGTTGGGATGATATACCACAACGTTACCTAAAATGGTAAATTCGTATGGTCATCTTAAATCTATCTGACAAATTGCGAAATTTAACTGAACATAATTCTTATTACGCGTATATACAAACGTCTCTACGAGAGAAATAATAATTAACTAATAAAATAATAATAATTTAATTTAGAAGCTCGAGTATTGCGAAAGCATCGAAAAATATTAAAATTTAATCGAATTATTTTTATGCATCGTTTTATTATATTATATTTTAAAAAATGTAACAATTTTCTTCGAATAAATGCCACGTTATATGTTTTGTAATACGATCTGTGTATACAGCATTATTATTTACCAGATTCCAAGGAAACCATAGCAAAATACTGTAATCCATAACGGGTTAACTTAGCAGTACGATGCATAGACTGACGCTTGGGTAAAGTAAATGTACCTAACAACTCGTCCTCGATAATGTTAAAGTCATGGCACTCTATCATATGTATGCAATGTGTGTTGTATAGCTGGTGTATATGGTAAAGGAGTGTAACAGTGGTTAGACCCCTCTTTTTCGCATCTCATCCATCTCACGGGTTTAACAGAAATAGCTCCTGACTCAATATTTAGGCAGCAGTACCGATTTCCTCTTGTAGTGGGTTTTATCCCTCAACTGTATTTTCAATCTTTACACGATTTTATATTATTATTATTAATAAAATATTTAAAACAATAAAAATTTGTATTCCGGTGCGTGTAGAAAAGTTTCGTTTCTGCAATAAAATAACGCGTTATATTACAGAAAAATAAATTCTTAGAAGTTTAGAGTTTCTTTGTTTTAGGTAAACAAAGTATGAGACAGTTATAGTTCAACTATCCTAGTGAAAAAAACTCGGATGCAACGTGTGCTTCATTAGAATATTATTCATTTTACAATAATATTAAAATGATTTTTAATTAATTATTCATTAATAACATTCGTTCAACAAATTGATTTCTATTTTTATTATCGTTTTTTATCATATAATCAAATTAATTTTCTCTTAATAGTAAAAATTATTTTAATAATCATCCCGTGTGCCGAAACTAAATTAATAATTAAAATAATTATGTGCAAAGAGAAAAGTATATTCACTTTGAATAGAAATTTATTTAAGTATTTCTCAAGTTCTTAATATTAAAGATAATTCTAGGACGAGGATAAATAAAATGTTCTTAATTCTAATCGTTATACTCGAATTTTTGTTTGTTTAATTATAAATTATTATTACGTTTTTTTATAATTAACATAAGAGGTATATATATATATATATATATATATATATATATATATATATATAGATACATATGTAATTTGTATATATACAATACAATTTTATTTGTTTGTCTTATATACTTAATATACACGCACATATGTAGATGCAATGTATGTAATATACATACTCATCCATAAAAAATTAAATGACAACGACACGCGTGACCGATTAGAACGCACCTCTTTTAATATTCTTAATACAACCATACTTGCTTGCTTGCTTACTTGCATACATGCGTGCGTGCATGCATGCACGCACGCATGATCGATTATAAATGAAATGAAAAAGAATGACTACTACACCGTGATTTGCGTTCGAATTTGTACTTAAAATTCATGCGTCTCGTTGCCCCTTTTTTATTTCAACGACTTACACACGATAGTTTTATTTTTTATTTTTTTTACGTAATTATGATTGATTATTTATTCACTATTATTGATACATAGTATCCATATTGTCGACTTAACTTTTTCGTCGAGTTACAAAGACGAAGGGGAAGAAGAAGGAAAAGAAATTCATTTTAAATTTCTTTAACACATCGATCCCTTATATATTATTTTATTATTTAAACTTGATTTAATAATTTTTGATATGAAAATATATTTACCTAAACGTGGCCGAAAATGATTCTCCTTATTCTTTTTTTTTCTTTTTTACGAAGACCGTTGTGTACTCCCGATAAAACAAAAAGAAAATAAAAGAAATGAAGGGAGGATGATAATAAAAAGTAGAACAAGAATTAAGTGATAAATAATTAAGAATTTTCAATTATAAATAAAGAAAAATAAACTAAATAAAAGTTATTAGAGTTATACTCAAAATTAAATTGATCGTACAATCCATGATTATTCACATGCTAATCATTGTAATCTAAAGGTAGTACTAAATAATTGTAATATAACAATGTATGTCGGTGATTATTTATAATTCCGTTAATTAAAAGACATATTTTGTAATATATGTATATTATATTACTTTGTAACCTTCATTAGAGGAAGGAATTGGATGATGTCGTTGATCGTGATTATTTTGCAAAACGAAATGATATTTTATAACAAATATGGATCTCGAGATGCCACGTTGACGCATATTTCAAATGAACGTCGTACTTTCTAAATTGTTCAAATTATGCACACGCATACGCATACGCTTACACGAACGCAGAGATATACTATGATCGTAGTTTAGTTAAATGAGTTAAAACGAAATAAAAAGAGCTAGTGCCACCAACGTAGAAATGATCGTTTATATTTTTCCTAAGATTTATTCCCTCCCCCTTCTCTCACTATTTCTCTATGATCTCACCATTCGTAAGGATTAACAACGTGGACAGTTAAGCTAGCTCGTTGGAAAATAACACAATGATATCTTTTTGATCTATTATATATATATATATATATATATATATCTATATAAGCGAACATATTTCAATGGGAATTCATATAACGAGGAACAACGTCATCGTAGAGATCGACCATCGGTCGTTGGAATCGAACAAGGATGAAACGATATTATTTAAAAAATGTTTTTTCAACTCTTTCGTCATATTTACAAACAGGCAAAACGCATAATGTAGGGATAAACGCGTTTTTTTCCTCAGTTCCATCTTCGTTTCGTGTACCCATGAAAAATACGACCGCGGATGATATATTTATATTATATTATATTTATATTATTATTATTATTATTATTATTATTATTATTATTATTATTATTAATATTATTATCATAATTATTTTCGTAAAAAATATTTCTACCTAAAAAAAGCTCGTGCCGCTTACGAGCAAGGAAAAATTTATTTTATTTTTCTCAACGGCAATGATCGAAGGGTGACAAAGAGAATATAACCAAGCGCCGAGCCGAACCCCGAGCCGAATGATAAAGGAAATGGAGATAATTTTTCCAATAATAAATTATTTCATTTTCCTTTGCAAAGTCGATTTCTTGGAGTCGTTCCCACGACCAGAAACATCCACTCACGCTAATTTCATGTATATGGTCCGATCCCTCATCTTGCAATGCTTCAATTCTCTCAATGCTCGTTGGGCTTCGCTAGGTGAAGAAAATGCTACGCGGGCGTCACCCGTAGGCATACCTCTTTCATTGTAACGTCTTATAACGTTTTCCCGTTTAACGTCGAAATCACCGAAAAAGTCAATTATTTCGTTAATGTCTGCCTTGAATGGCACATTCTCTAAAGAAAGAACGCAACCAGGTTTCCCGAAACCCTCGACGTAGTCCATAGAACCAGGATGACGACCTAACATATGTCTCGGTATACCCATCAGACCTGGTGGACACCTGGGACCAAATGCCGAATTACCAAAACGCGGCATGTGATTTTGCATGGGTCCTGCAAATCTTGGCCGTGCATCCTGCGGTGGTGGATAATGCTGTTGTTGTTGTTGCTGCTGCTGGGCCTCTATCAATTGGGGATCGGTCATTTCAAGAGTCTCTAACATGTGAACTCGTGGTATGAGCTCGATCGTTGGTATGTTCTTACCAAAAGGCACACCATTCTTCGCCGTAGCCCTAAGTGCTTCGTCGGTAGTTTCGAATTCGCAGAAACAATCGCCAGTGGGTTTACCGTTCTGATTCAATATCATATGGGTTCGTCGTGGTACGATTCCAATATCGGAAAAGTAATCGTGAACGTCTCGGTCCAACGTTTGGAATGACAAACCACGCATGATTATACAATCCGAGGTAGTATTTTGGCTCATTCCGTTTTCATGTTCCCGTTTTGCTTGTGCAAACTTATCTTCGGAAATGGCTGTCGCAGTTACCTGTTTGTTACCAATCTTCAAAGAAGTACCGAGAGACGATTTAGCGTCTTCTAATCTAGCAAATTGCACATATGCCACGTAATGCGTACTCCCGGATTCCTTGATATTCGTAATAAAAAGGTCATTTATCTTCCAGTCGTGGAACAATTTGGCTATGTCCATTTCTTTGGTGAACGACGGTAGATCCGTCAAAAGAATGCAAGTAGACGTCCTGACGTCAGCTTCGTCTTCTTTATCCGGTGCATAAGAATCTGCAGCTTTATCGAAAATGCTCTCGTCCAAATGAAGAACTTCAACTTCGGAACCGCGAACGTATCTTGGGATTGATAAAGCAACTTCCTTACCTTCCGCTTTGCTAAACTTGATATATGCAATACCGACTCGATTACCATGATTATCATTGATCAATTTTAAACCATCTTTTCTGATAAAGATACCTTGAAATGCATGTCTTACGTCCGTGTACGTAGCATTCAATGGCATATTACGTACTTCTACACAATAACCGCTAGAGCTAGATTTATTATCATTAGAAAATCTCGAGGAACTGTTGGAATTTCGTCCGGACGTTTGCCGATCTGGACCATTTTCAAAGTTACCATATTGCGAAACAGCAGCCGAGGCAACAGCTTGGAAAGCATGTGGATTACGACGACCCTCTAATTCCTGTACTTTGCTCAAAAAAACGCTATTTGGTCTCAGACCGGGTCTACAATTAATGGCACCGTTATTGGCCCCATACATGCCGGCAGCATCCTGTGATCCAAATTGGTTCGCTCTACCTGGAAATCTGACTTGATCCATTCTGCCCTGATCGTTTTGACTCCAAGGTTCTTTTGGACGATTTAAATTACCCATACCGCTGTTGAGGCTTGGCAGAGACGCGTTAGCTAAGTTTGGAGGAAGTGAATTCATACCGACCGCATGGCCGGTTAATGTCTGAACATGTGGCTGCATAAGATTTCCGACACCGTTCAAACCGTTCAAGGAGAACTGATTCGATTGTAGCAATGATTGCTGTCCTAGAACGGAATTACCAAAGGTCATGGATCGTTGCTCGCCATCTTGCGACAAAGCGGCCACGCCCGCTCCTAAAATTCCCGGTGTTAAGAGGGTTGCTTGCATTTGGGTCTGAGGTGGTACTTCCCATATACCATTTTCAACGATAGGAGGTTTCTTCAGCGAACCAACTCCACCACCACCACCGCCAACGCCACCAGACGCGGATTTATTATCTTTGTGAAATTGTCCTACGCATACCACGTCATTATTATCATCGTCTGTAGCATCTTTACGACGTTCTCCCGTCGAATTACGTTTAACGTCCCTATCCCTAGAACGGGTACGGTCGCGAGATCTTGAACGATCACGACGACGACGTCTGTCGCGACGATCGCGTTCTCTGTCTCTCGATCTGCTTCTGTCTCGACGTCTACGATCACGATTCCTATCCCTGTCACGTCTATCCCGATCCCTGTCACGATCTCGCGAACGTGACCTATCTCTCGATCTCGATCTATCGCGTCTCTCCTTTCGATCCTTACTCGATTCGCTGTCATTGTCCTTTTCCCTTCTATCGTTCGGTGATGCAGGCTTAGCAGAAACTACTGGAGTTGGTACTGCAACCGGTGGTGCTGCCGCTGCCGCTGTCTGTATAAACGATTGAAGGTGCAACGTTTGTTGTCTCGCCGCTTCGATAACCTTCTGCATTTCCGTGCGCGAACTTAGCAACAGCTTTATTTTCATCTCCTTGATCTTACCCCCATCTTGCATCATAGCCTGCCGTGCATCCTCGTCCGTGCTGTAAATTTCATCATTACGTTTCTCGATTAGTTCGAAAACATTATTCCGAACTCTTTTCCTTATTATATTATACATTCTACAATGCGTTTAGAAAATTACCCGACCGATCGACCGAATACCAAAATAGATCGTAAAATAATCTTTTCTAGAAAGTATTTTAACGGGATATTTTCCGGCGTTCCAATAACAAACTCATTTTATTACCTGAACGCTATAAACGCGTCTCCCAGTTCGCCACCGACAATATGTACTCCACCTTCCGGTATACTGAGCCCTCTGAAAAATTGGCGGATGTCCAAAGCGTTGGCAGACCATGCTAGATTCTGTAGTCTTATTATCACACTCATTTTTGGTAGATCTTTTATTTTTTTTTCAAGTATCTGCAACCGAAGGTATACGTGACAATTAGAACAAGAAAAGGGAATATTTTGTTGTTATTGTTCAAGTTAGAAACTAATTCAAATATCGATATTTAACCAATCTGAAATATTGTTCTGAGAAAAGGAGAATGATAATACAGAGAGTGCGGAATTTGTCTTGTTTATCTCTCACGATTGTTTTATTCATTAGAATATATCATATCATAACTACATTTAATTGAATACACTAAAACGCAGATAATAAAAAATATTACGGAACAGTTGTTCGAATCATTTGTACAGCACAATAGTAATTAAACGTTTTTAATAACATTTAACATCATACAACAAAACTAATAATACTAATAAGCTGAATACTTTACCTAGAACAGTATCTGAAAGACATACACGTAAGGGGGAGGTGGGGGGACCATAAAACACGCATTTAAATTATATAGAATACTGTTGTCGATCGATATTCGCAAGGGCTGACGAAAATCCGATTTTAAAATAGAACTATTGGATAAAGAAAAATATTTTACTATCATAATTGTTTATATACGTATTTCGGAAATAAAATAATATAAAATTTATTTTTTGATCAGGAATAATATCATAACAATGTTTAAGAACCATTGTCATACGGATAGAATAATAAAACGAGGTATTTTTAGTTCATGCGTAGAAAATGGCTAGTATTCTTTATTATTTCAATAAAATTCCATTGGCGCCAATGAATCTTCAGTAATTTCGATTGGTATGTGTGCTGCTGACACAAGGCAGCAGCAGCAACACAGGACAGGTATAGAAATGCGCCCACGCAACGTTTATGCTACTTCGTAGGTACTATCAATAACATCTTTCACAATGGTTTAAGTTTCTATGCGTGTTATTTCGGATTTCGATAGGAATTTCAACAGATAAATTATCTTTAAAAAACATCCTAGAAGATCAAATAATTGAATCTAATTCGTATGGGCTTGTCAAAAGATAACAATATCGAATAAATGCGTATACTGATTATCTGCATTACCAACAAAACTTTTTTAATTGTATAACTGTTCTTTGTATTGTATTAACGATTGAATTTTCTAAGTGTTTTATTATGTTTTATTACTTAACTTAAATCATTTTCTTATTCACCGTGTGTGTGTGTGTGTGTGCATACTGCAATAATTCCTATCTTTAGATAGATTTAAACAAGTAATAAAACGTCTTGCATCATAATTTGTTTTATAATTTTTTATAATTGCATCATAATTTCTTTAAGTAACGTGTACCAGGAAATAATTCATATTAATTATAATAAATATTGTATTAAATATACCACAAAGAGCATATTGCATAATTTGTATAAATTAATTCTTATCATCATATCTCTGATTAAATATATATACAATGAATGATTCGATAATCAACATGATTACGATCGATTAATGAATCGAGTTAATAGACTTGTTATCTCCATACGATTTAATCGTGGATAAGACAACTTAATTATTCAATTATCCTTGGTTTAAGACAAGTGTTGCAGCTTAGAACCATTGAAGATGAACTCTGGTCCGTATGGATCGCAGCACGATTGCATAGAATTCTTTCAACTATTTTATCCAAGTTGTATTATCACCATCACCATCACCATCACCATCACCATCACTCCATCACCATCGTCATCAGCGAATTTAAATCAAAACCATCGTGTAAACATATACCGTATACGTTTACAAAATAAAATGAGAAAAGGATGCAGAATATATGCAGAAAAAATATAATTTGTTGTTGTTGTGGAAATCGTTCTATCAGATATTTGTATTAACAAAATTATATTCATTTGTAAATTAAATTCATTCGAGAGTAAAAAAAAGGGAAAAAGAAATTGGCAGAGATGATGATAATAATAATATTAATTGTAGAATTAAGTTTATTGATTCGCAGTAGGAGAGTTACTATAAATAAAACGTTCATGATACCGAAACTTGAAAAATCACGTAGAGAACACGTGCGCATGTGTACTTTTAGTATTCGAAATAGACGTCAATATTTATTAGCAGCCTTTTTAAAACAGATTCTTAAAAGATGAAAGAATAGTAATAATAGTAGTTAGTTTAACAACCAAAACCACCAACTGCTCGGAGAATGGTTGAATCTCACCGACGAGTAGGGTAGATTTTTCTTTCTTCGTTGGTTGTGCGTTGCGTTAGCAGCCAATGTTCTCTATCATTATCTAATACATTTTTATCTTTTTCTTCTTACAAAAAAAAAAGAAAAGAACAAAAAATCTCGATATTTTAATAAAAAGAAATATTTAAGAAGGAAGCAGGAAAACACACCGATGCGTCGAATTCGATGCGGCAACGTTGAAAAATAAACTACCTTGATGGTTGTTGTGTGTGTCGATGGTTATTAACGCAGTATTATCAACGTGAAGTATCTCTCATTTCTTGGGAGATGCATTATCCATTTGTACCAAGAACATTTCAATGCAAGAATAAAAAAGAAGAGAACGCATTGAGGGATCAGAAAAGAACACAAACAAATAGAATAGTAATAGTAATAATAATAATAATAATAGGAACGTATCAATGATCTTTTTCTTTCCCTCTTAATCTTTTAGCCCTTTGCACTCGATGATGATTTTTCCGCATATTTGAATCATAGAGAATGATCGGTCATTTCATCGTATTCCGTAACTTTGAAAAGAATATTACATTTGAATCATAGTTTTAAATCGAATGGTGACTCTTGAGTGCAAAGGGTTAACAACAAAGCAACGAATTATTGATTTCTATTGCAAAGAACACGAGAGCAAAAGAAATAAAAATTAAAATTAACATTAAAAGGCATCGAAAAAGGGAGATATATAACAAAAATATCTCTTGGTAATATTTTAAAAGGAAACTTCTTTTTTTTCCCATTTATCGGAGACAGAGAAACAAACCACATCATTTGAAAGTCGATCAAATGCTAAAATGCACGACGATTACTATAAATAGCATATCATACAGAAGAGGAGAAACTCGTTCGAGAAACGACGATGCTATTTAGTAAATAAGATGGAGAAATACGAAGGGGAAACCTGCAGATTCGATGGCGATGAAAGAAGAAGAAGACCGGTGTATGTTCAGGATTCCTTTGTGTCATCCCTTTGAGACTCGAACAGAAGACGATGATGATAGATCTTTCTTTCTTTCTTTTTTTTTCCTCTCTCTCTCTTTCTCTCAGTTGTCTCGATGAGGGTTACAATCGTCAAAGAAAACCATTCAACGAAACACGTTCCTAACGTTTACCGCTGTAGAAACATTGTCTCTCTCTTTCTTTCCCTTTTTCCCTTTTTATTAATGCAAAAATAGCAAGAGATTGGGAGACAGGGGAAAGGAAATAAGATTCGGTTTTTTTTACTAATAAAACTCGTCTGAATAGGTTGAAACCAAAATTATTAAGTACAGAACGCATAATACAAATTTACTCAAATGCTCCTTTCGCATATTTTATGAAAGATATATGTGTGCTTGCGTGCAGGTGAAAATATGTGCACGTTGGACTCGTTGAAAGTAACCCAACACCTTTGTCAAGAGAATGTATTGTAGAGCAACACGGTTTTCAGCATCGATTTTCGCACAGTCGTTTAATTTACTCAACCCCCCCTGTCCCTTCTTCTCACCTACCTCCCCTATCCTCTCCACCCTTTCATCCTCAATGTTCTATCTCCCTCTCTCTTCCATTCTTCACGCAGTATTTCATAATATTCAATCGCCAATAGTTCTCCATTGAACGTGAACATTTGTTATCATTTATTCTCGTATCAGAAAGCATTAAACTTTTTATTTAAAAATACATGATCTAGTAACCCTGTGACCCAATAAAAAAAGGATTGTCTTTACTACTGTTTTATATGCACTGAGGAGAAACAAATACGATATCGCACACACACATATGCTTAGATATGTGTTTTTTGAGGTAACGTGTTTATATATAACACACGCTTAAATATGTGCAGGCAAATTTACGTAATCGTATGTATGTATGTATACGTGTGTAATATATAGATATATGTATTGCATATATATATATTTGTGTAGAAGACGTATTGAGCCACGCATGCGCGTACGCAACCAGCTGCGATTTCATTCATGACGATTAATGGGGTGGGGGTGCGGCGGGAATAAATCGATAAGGAGAGCAAGGATAATTATCATAATTTTTGTATCTTTTTGTACTTTTTTTTACTTCGTTTTGTTTCCTGTTCTCCCTTGTTCGATAATAAAGAAATAATAATTAGACTCGTGTACGAAGAGTACGTTGAATAAGAAAAATTAAAGATCGCTGTTTTTACGATGAATTCACGAGGTTGAATTAAATACGCAAGATGACGTTCGGTTATCGAACACCTTGATCGTAATCGATAACGCGTTTCCCCGTTCGATATATTCGATTGTAATAAAATTAATGACAGGTAAATAGCTCTTTTTCTTTCTCTCTCTCTCTCACTCCCTTTCTTTCATTTTTCGACGATCTGAAACATGAAAAGATACGAACGTCGTACGTCGCGACAAATTAAAGTTGTGTTTTATTAATTTATTTCTTTTTTTTTTTATTTTCTTTTCTGTTTAGGGCAAATCATTAGAGTCGACGATTATTAAAGGAAAATGTCTACTCGTGTCCGAAGAAGAATAAATATCTGTGTAATTAGCAGCAGCATATTGTTTTGGAGGTTAGTCCATTTATACATTAGAATCATCCGACTTAAAAACGAATATTAAATGCAGAGCTTAATCCAGTAAATCTGGACACACCGTGCAGGCCACTGCATTAACTTTTTTGTTTCTGTTAAAGCAAAACAACGACAAAGATAAACTTTGTCTTATCGATACAAGCACCATAGAATGACCTATTAAAAGTCTCTTCGGTTAAATAATCCAGCATAGTATGTTTCCTACATATATATCTAGTTGAAATATTTATCAAGATATTAAAAAATAAAAAATAATTGTCACTAATCACGTAATCAATAATGTCACGATTAATATTGAACTACAGTCAAATGATTTGTCCATTGAATTTGGAGACTGAAATAGGTAACGATGCATAATGCACGATATTATCATATTAACACATTTTCATTCATCTAAATCATTCAATTCTATTCATTTCTAAAATTCAAATGGATATGCATATATAAGATCAGAATTTCTTGTTGATTGTAACCACAAAACAAGAACAGCAACAATAATAACATTAATAATAAGAAGGAACGCAAACAGATATTCAGATAACTTTAAGTCAAGGTAGTAATAATAATCTGTTGCTTTTGTACTTCGATGTAAAATTAATTAAGACAACGAGATGGATAGGATAAGATAAAACACGTTGGTAAAACGTGAGATTCATTCATATAGGGTGTTATGCGTTTGTATATATAAGATATGTAAATAATATCCGATTTAAAAATGCTCTCGTACAAGATGACTCCCAGCTTGCAAGGACCTCTCGTAGAAAAACCAAACTTCGCAGCAGGCTAAGGACCGGCAAGATTAAGTTGCAGCAGACTTTCTTTCTCTCCACTCTCATTTCTCCTTTTCTTTCTTTTTTTTTACTCGTTTTCCGAATAATATCACGTTAAAGTATCGCCATCATTTTCATAAATGTCGCAGTATGATGATGGTCAACCATAGAGAAACGAATTGGATTAAAATTCCCAAAATTGATTTTATCCTATCTCTTAATTTAAAGGAATAATCATTTGTCTTAGTATTTTTTCCAAAATAAAATGTGAAACGATTAAAACATCTAAAGTTTCTATAATTTATAGCTTGATGTGTTTTTCTCTTCATAATGAAATAATAGTTTAACTATATACTATATTAGAGCGCGATAGTTCTGTTATATATGCAAACATATATATGTACTTTTGCATAGTTAATTCTATACAACCATCAGATTAAGTAGTTTTAATATAAATAAAGATAATCAGCGTTAAAGGAAAATTTTGAATGAAATTTAAAATGATCTCTGATATAGAATGTAGAATAATAAGAACACGTACCAAGAATTAATAAATTATGTATTCAGCAATTACCAACTTTGATCGAAGTTTTACTTCATTTCTAAAATATTTGTTATATAATAAATTTGATAAAAATAAAGAATCTCACATTTATGTCAGTAAGTATATTATCTTTGTCAACTTACCTGTATTTATTGTATATATGTTTTCTTTATACTTTTTTATATTTCATATATTTTTTCATCATATCATATAATAAATACCTCGACCTACAATCTATGAAGTTTATATTTCAATAGATTTTGTTTAGACTTTGATCAAAGTTAAATAGTTTTAAGAAACAGCCTATAAGTAGACGACATAAAACTGCAATACTGATTAACATAATATTATATTAAATAAATGCTTGGTATATTTTTATATACCAAACAAAATGCTCGAATATTCATAACTGCATGTCTTAAATTTATCTGATGCAGTTTAGATCGATAAATAAATAATCATTTGTTTTAGAGAAGAACAAAAAATTTATGAATTTAATAATCATGTTTGATATAAAAAATATTTTTTATTCGAATAATATCAATCAAATTATTATGAAGTCAACATAATCTGATTGGATTTAGATGCTAAAAAATAAATGAAAAATCTTTTTCCTGTTGGAATAATGATATAAATCTTTTGTGTTAAAATAAGTATTCTAAGTTCTTTGATAAAAATAAAAATTGTATGAACGTGACGAATATTCTTAACTCCTTCTATTATTCTAACCGGTGTTACTTACCAATTGTTCAAGAGTTTTTTTTATTTTTAACAATAATTATATCATTTTATAAACTCATGTTTATGCACATTTGTATATTCGGGGGATGAGCAGAAACATTAGAACTAACATATATGTTTGTGGAAGATTTTCGAGAACGTTAGAGGAACGAAGGTCCTCTAGTAAAATCACAACACTTCCCACCAGAATTAAGAACTAATTTTATTACATTACTTTGAAGTATTACCTTCGACTTTAGAAACTTGAGAAACTTCTTCTTTCTTCACTCACAGCTAAAAGGTACGACGAAAGATAAGAAGTCGATGAGAACAAAGATGACCGAGCAGGAAAGGGCCCATCAACGAAGGACAATGAAATGGAGAAGCAGAAAAGGAGTAGTTAACTGCGCCAAGTCATTGTAATAATGTCCACTGATGAAGAATCTTTTCTTGCACCTAACACACACTGAGCTGCCTAAGATCCTGTAACACACACCATTTTTTCCACACTGTACCTAAACCGCACAGGGCAATCAGAAATTGTAGCTACCAATGTCTCCTTCCTTTCATTGTACAAAATTAACGCTCTACTTACACTTGCGCTTCATTTTCAAATTAAAAAAAAGGAATAGAAAAAAGCCAAATTTTAAGTAAAAACTAGAAAAGTTACTGGTGTGTATTATGTCTCTGATATATATATAAATATTATTATAGATCTATTAATAATACAATTTATAAGACTCATTTCTTCAGTATTTTATGATAAACTATATTTTTCAAAATGTAAGCTATGATTTTATCTCTCAAATTCATCCTTTTGCAAATTAAATTCAAAAACAAAGCACAAAAATGATTCACATTTGAAATGAATTAATATTGTTTCAAGAACTATATATCTATTCCTAAATTACCTATAGATAAATTTCAACGTCATTAGATTGTATTAGAGATATAAAAACTATCTTTATCACGATCATTACTTTATTATAAATTAAATAGTATAAATATCTAGAGTGATATAAATGAAAAATATTCATAAAAATACCTGAATAGAAGAAGAGAGAAAGAGAGTAGAAGAGATAAAAAGAGAGATAAAAAGAGAGAGAGAAAGAGAGAGAGAAAGAGAGAGAGAGAGAGAGAAAGAGAGATGTGATACAACAAGAACTCCCTAATGCGTAAATTCATATACACTCGTAGAATGACCTAATAATATTTAGATCGATAGCTAATTACACGAAGTGCATTATTTTCGTCCTAAAGTTAGACAAATCTTATAATTATATAATAAGATCGTAAACGAATGAGAAAATATCGATTTTTCTTTCAAGAAACAGGTAAAACTCCATTAGAAAAGCACGTCCGCCATTAAATAAGAGCAAGAAGTTTCGATGGACGAAATGTAGAGATAAACATTGTTATGATAATTAAACTCACCAAACTTACTATGCGAGAAAATGATGGCTGTTACGAGAAGATAGTTGATATTTAGACGTCGTTAGAAATAAATAGCACAATAGAATTGATTTCCGTTCTCGAATATACAACCAACGATTTAGCGTCAGCGTCCCATGGAATGACCGCGGCGGCCGTGCAAATGGCTACGAGAACCCCTATGCTACATAACCGGAAAAGCATTTTCACTATGCACTTCCGGTATTTCGATTGACCAATGATAAAAAAGTAACGAAATAAAGATGATTTTGATTGGATGTTATTCGACAAGTTGATGATTGATAAAAATATGAATATATGTTGTTATATACTAAAATTAATAAATGAATTAATTAATAATATATTTGCATTCGTCAGTAACGTAGATTTATATATTTATCAATCTTTGTTCCAAAATATTACAGCATTATCAAGTTGCAGTTTAACCAACCACGGTGCATTTTTATTCTCTTTCATTGGTAACGATCGTTCATTAATTTTCGATCGTTGCACATGCGCATATGTTTCTTCATAGTAAATATTTACTATTATGTAGATAGCACAATGTTTACTACACGTGTTCATTCAATTTTTAGCCATGAATGCAGCAACATCGTAACAACACGTATAACAATTGTAAACCTTTAAAAAAGCTTCTTATCTATGTAATGTAATCTGATCACCAAGATTACAAAAAGATTTAAATCCTTTAAAGAGTATATCCTCTAAAGAAGTAAATACTTTAAAGAATATCCTTTAATATAAAATATTACGAAAAGATTATAAAAATATACAATTGTTTGGTAAAGGAATAGGAAGAGAATAAAAAAATGATGCAGATAGAGATCGTAGAATTGAATACATTCAATTAAATTATCACAAGCGTTTATTGCCGCTACATTAGCGATAAAGGAAGAAATCGACAAACATAATAACGAATAATATGTAACGATTATTATATAGTATATTTTATGTACACAAAAGTTTAATATCGCTGACTGCCATTATACAAAATACATTAAAAATATATGAAGGTCTATACAAAGTTTACATAATAATAACACATTAATATACCCATTCTTTTATTTAATCTTAACTATATTCGTAGGTTAACTTTCGTCATATAATGGTGTACCATCTCCACTAAGAGACATACTGCGCGGACTAGAATTAGTATACGGTGTTCCTCGCGGTGATTTATAGGATGGGGTTCGATTAGATGGAGTTCTATTTCTCGGAGTAGTCCTTCCAGTAGAGTCCTCATAATTCCGTGGCGTTTTCCGAGATTCTTCATATCTCGGAGTACTACCCCTACGTTAAATTAAATTAAATTAAATGAGATTTAAATTAGATAACTGCAACTAAATGTTTTAAGATCATAAATAGAAGAAGAGACTTACGATCCTCGAGGAGTGGACTGTTTCAAACGAGCCCAAGCTTCAGCTGCCTTACTCCAATCCGTGGCATCTCCAGATGACGGAGTTGACACAGACGGAGCAGGTCTATGAGATCGCATTGATCTTTGAGTTGTAGATGGTACCGACGAAGATACCGGATGTAAGAATGGACCTTGGTGATGATTTGGTGTCTGTTGCGCATGTCGCGGAGTATGATGAGGTGTTTGGTACGGTGTCATGAACGGAGTTTGTCCTGAAGGAGTATAAGGTGTATTTGGGTATGTGTGCATTCCACCATAAGCTGTGGTACTTGCTGCACCTGGAGTATGTGGCGGATAATGATGTGGTGTTTGATTCGCTACTTGTGAAAGGGAATGCAACATGTGGTGTGGCAAATTTTGGGCCACTCTTTGTATTGCATCCTGATTCATTCCTGGAATATTAAATATAAATATTTAAATATATATTTTTATACTATTAATAATGATTAATGTGAATAGAAAAGTACCTGTAACTGCCCCAGGAGTAGCATGATACGGTGTTCTTGAAGTCAAAGCACCGTGTGGAGTACCTGGCGTTGATTGACCAGGTATTGGATCACGGAAATGTTCTTTAAACCAACGGAACAAATCATTTACTCTACTAAACGTTTGTCCTCTAAATTTAAAGCCGTCTGGTAAAACGCTAACGTATTCGTGACGGCATCGAATTCTTGGTAAATACGACAGGAGGAATTTTCCTGGATAATTCTGCAATATAAAAATAAAAGTATATGAGTTAAACGTTTACAATTTATAAAAATATAAAAAAAAGAAAATAAGTATAATGTAAATTGCTGCGTTTTTCGTACCTTAGCTGCAGATATAATGTACGGAATTCCTCCTGGATTTTGTTTCTTCTGTTCTTTCAAAATCTCTTCAGCCTTATCTTTTACACCTTCCACGTTTGCTTTGTAATATTTAAAGTCTAACAATTCCGAAGTATACGCAGCCATCGGATTGACGTGTCTGGCAATTATTTCATCTAGATCTTCGAATTCTTCATTACCTATCCATAGGCTATGGCCCAAGGAAAATGCATTTTCTTTGCCTTCTTCTCTTACATCAATGTGTTGATAAATATTGTCGGTTACTTTCCATGTTACAGTAAGATGATCCGCACCTTTGCTACTGGGTCTAATTATGCCTTCTCCTTGTTTCATATTCTGCATTAACTTCTCCGACTCGGCAAAACTAATATTGTGGAAAGACGGATGTATAATAACACGCCTAACGTATGTCTGAAGTTGCTTTACTTTCTTAGCATCCTCTTCTACTTTGACATCTTGATCGTGCGTTTCCGTGTCATAATAAATGTCCCTTTGAGGCCTAAAAAGATATACACGAAAAATACATTAAATAATATTAAAAACTATTTTTAATAAAAACAAAAAAGGATATATAATGTGACGACTTACCTCCATTCGTGATTTTTGTCTGCCAGATCGCTGCTCTTACTCGTACATTCGACACTGAAGCGTTCTACTTCGATTTTAATAATACGACAATGTATTACTTGACCAATACCAACTCTTTCTTCAGGATTGGCAACATGTTTATCAGATAAATTTTTAATATGAACATAACCGGATATTCCATTGTCTAATCTCAGTCTTACACCTGTAGCTTTTCCTGGACAAGCTCCTGCATCGAAGTGATTCCACACTTCCGAAAGCTCAGGAAAATCATTCTTAAGACAGAACGGACATTGCCATAAACCAGTCTCATCGTTTCTAACTGGATTGGCTTGATCTAATTGTTCTCCTTGTGGTTTTCTATGACTTATGCCAACCACCGTTGCCAATACCAATTTACCGATGTAGAACGTTTCAGGTGTTTCCTTAGTTAATATGTCAAATAATTTTTCGGGACTCGGAGATTGGTACGGTACACGTAAATCTTTGTATCTTGAATTCAATTCAGCTCTGATATCATACAATGTAACGCATTTATTGCCAAAACCTTGTCTTTCTAATTCTTCTGCAAATGCATCCAAGTCCAAATCTTTCAATCTTTCAGGGGATTCTAAAATTTCTTCTAGAGCACCAGCCGGATTTGCATCTTCGTCGTCGTATTCCAATGCATCTACCGCCATTTTCCTTGCCCATTCATACGTTTCAGGATGCACTCTCGAACCATCCAATACTTCTACGTACGCTTCCGTACTATCTCCTAAACTATTTGTATCAATTTTAATAAATCCAGCACAATTGATAAATACTTTGGGTCCCATATGACAAGCTGTTACAAGTTGAGTTCTATTTTCTAATCTTTGATTCGTTTGTTTCAATATTTTAATCAATGCTTGTCCTTTTCTGGGACCTAAACCGCAAATGAATTGTACTAGATTCCCAGAATAAGCTTGTTGCACTGCTTTATTAACATCAACGCCAACCTCATTTACTCTGTTTACGAATTCTAAATATAAATTTTCTAAAAGCTCTTCCTTGAGAAGCTGATCTTGCAATGGATGATACTTGAGGCATAATATTTCTTCATCAGCAGTACATAATTGAGAAAATTCTACCAACGGATCCTGCATTCTTCTTGCCAAAGATATAGCTTGCCTCAATAATTCCGGATAATCTCGGAATTCGGAAATACCCTTGTTACTGTTGGAATAAATCTTAGCAAGTTCGTTTTCACATATTTCCACTTGGATAGTAGGAAATTGTTCATCTTCCATTAGATTAGAAATACATTCCTTTACATCAGAGGCAATCATTAATGCCTCTCTCGATTCACCACCGATTACAACCACGTGGGGTTTCTTAGTAGCGATGAAATTCTTAAGGGCCAATAAATCAGCTTCTTTCATGACTTTTTCGTCATCCCTGAAACTATTTTTCCTCTTCATCAAATGTGGTAATCTTACGTAATCCGTGCATTCACCGTCAGCGGAAACGATGCATGTAAAAGCAGCTTGAGAATAATCAGGTACATAAGCTAAACCCATAACTCGAAGACCTTTACTCGTGTCCCATTCTTCATCTTCTTCTTCAGGAAATTCACAAGTGTATGGAGCTACTTTAATCCAATTATACATTTTACGACAACAAGCTCTCATTATGCATTCCTTTGCTTCTGTAACAAGATTGATTCTCAATTCCTTCTTTAAATGTGGTATCACCATACGATTGAGAGCCATTTCTACACTGCCAACTCTCAAAGCATTCCAATCTTGTACATTTTTGCTGAATTCGTCACGATAGTAAAGTTGCTTCATTTCGTCAACGTAATTGCTAGTTGTATTTCCTTCAATCGTGTCACTCAATGAAATAGTAATGAGTTTGTCTGTTTCAGCTATGATCAATTTTAAGAACTGATCTCCTACAAGATCCCGAACTGGTTTGTCTTTCAAATATTTCATGGAATAGATAGGATGATTCTCGTCTATCTCTTTGATACCTTTTTTCGTAGGTTTAATTGATATTTTAGCTCTCTCCATATACATTTCTCGGACGCATTTACGTACCAATGGTTCACGCGCCAATTGCATAGCAACCATCAATTGAGCAGCTTTAAGAACTTCCTCTGGAGTATGAAATCTTGAACTGCAAAAATCATTTGCAACTGTTGTAGGCTCTGTGGGTTCTTGATCCACTTCGTGACGCTGATAATTATCGCGAAGATTTTCTGCGAAATGTTCGGGAGTAAGACCAAACTTCTTAGCAAGCGCATCCAAGCCTGCTTTTCGACAAGTAGAGTACGGTCCACTTCTAACTGCTTGTTTCAATGTTTCATCTGGTTCATCTTCTTCTTCTGCAGCAAGTTCAATATCCTCTTCGGGCAGATTTTCACCATTCTCTTCGGCTTCAGCAATTTGTTGTTTTCTTTTTTGTATTCTAGCTTCACGACGTGCTTCTCTTTCTTTTTGACGAACAATTTCTTGCATAGCTGGTATATCATGACTATAATAAAGCATGAAATGTTGATAAACGTCATTTAATTCCTCGCTAGTTTGAATATTTTTAAGACGTTCAATGTCATCATCTTTTATCACTCTTACGTTATCTGGTAACGGAGCATCAGGGTTTTTCATAATTTCGTCCAATTGATAATTTCTCATCTTTTTAAACAGTCTCAATAAATTATCTTTTCGTTGACGCAATTGACACCATTTTGCATCAAATTTATATACTTTCCATAAGTCATTGATATTAAGTTCTGGAAGCACATATTCTTTTCTGTAGAATGAGATGAAAGGAACTTCGAAGTGTTGATTTCGCATGAAATCTAAAGCTTTTTTAATTTTCCCAATAGTTTGTACGCCTTTCTTGGCTCTCTCTTTGGCTTCTTCGTTCAAGTGAGCATCTTGAACGGAAATAGTAGGTCGGCAAAATGCTTGTTTATATATCCAGTCTGCCTCAAGATCTAATTCGTCAGAACCTTCAGCTACGGGTGTAACAGGAATAGAACGAAGCTGCATTCGTTCGGGAATGTCTGTATTACGAATCTAGAATAACAAATTTAAAAATAAAAATAATTAGTATTATATTCAAATAATTAGAAGACAAAGTACCTCAGTAACTATAAGTACATACCTCATTATCTAAATCCGTGAAATGGCCTCTTTTCAATTCACTTGGCTCATAAATTTCAAAAATACTCTTTCTAGTACTTTTCTTTTTAAATTGTTTCTTCGGTCTTCTTGGTCTTTCGTCAACATCGTCATCCAAGTATTCATCTTCTTCTTCCTCCTCTTCCTCTTCCTCATAATCTTCCTCTCCGAATTTACCAAACTCATCAAAGTCAAAATCAACTCCAAATATATCCTGTGCTTCTTGCAAAGCTCTGTTTTCACAATATAAATTAATTAATACTTCATTGTGTGTACATAAAATAAACTATAACAAATGTGATTTGAATACTTACGCATCAGAGAATATTGGTTTCTTTTTCAAACGCTTTTCTGCGAGAGATCTTCCATCCTCGTCAACGATAAAATCATTCATATCATCATCTCCTTCACTTCCTTCTTCATCCAGAGTCTCAACCTCTGGTCGGTGACTGCGTTCACTTCGTCGTTCTTCTTCCTATACAACATGAAAAATAGGAATGAATAAAGACATTCTTTCTCAATAATATTAATCCTTTAGATTACACTATAGTGCAAATTGTTAATTGATTGATATTTGTTTGTATAGAATAAAAAAGTATCATTACCACAAAGACATCTCTTTCCTTATATGGATGCAGAGAAATACATACAAATATGATTATATGAATACTAGATAAATCTAGAAAAGAGTTCCAAATGATACTTACATCGCCAGAGCCCTCAAATAGTTCAGTGGCAATGGCATCTCGATCCTCTTCCGGTTCCTTTTCCTGTTCATCTTCGGATTCTTCGTCTTGTATTCTTCTAAGACGTTTAAATCTGCGTTTCTAAATTGAAGAGAAATTTGTCTTAATACGGGATCTCTCTGGGGACTTCAAACAAAAAAGTAGTACGTTAAACTTACCCTTTCGAGTTTAACACCCAAGTTTTCTTCTATCAAATCATAATCTTCTTCCTCCAATCTATCATCAAACTCGTCGTCACTCTTTTTTCTCTTTTTAGAACCCCCAGAAGTATCACTATCCTCTCCATCGCTTTCTTCTTCTATCGGATTATCATCGATTAAATCTGCGACTTCTTCGCCATCATCTAAACAATAATAATTCATTTATTAACCTCGTATAAATATGCAAATGAGAGAAAATTAAAAAAAATAATGTTAAATAAGTTTTGAATTACCGTCATCTTCTTCGTCGCTTTCTTCGACCGCCTTGATCTTTTTTAACTTCTTTTTTTCATTCTGATCAAGCTCCTCCTCCTGAAACAATGTAAGGTTAACTATAATATATGAAAGTATGTCGCAATACGGTACATTAAAATGCATTAAACATTGTGAAAAAACAAACCTCGCTTTCTTCTGCTTCGGAATCTAAGAAGTCTGCCATTTTCGATGAAAATGTATCTCAAAAATGTGTTGCAGATAAAAAATCAAATCCAAATACTTTCGAAAAAGTTGTAAATTGCTCGTCCCTTTTCTTTAATGGTTTGTCAACCAACTGTAAATATGACGTGATTATACTAAGCATAAATATTCCATTTATAATAATCACTACAGTTTATATTAGTTTATAAATACTCTTTTATTCAATAAAATATCAAATTTATATAATCAAAACATAAACGCAAACGAAACACTCTGAAAAATACGTTCGTACGAAAAGAACTGTAGCTACGCCATTACATAGTATCCCGACTGCCCTTTACCCCTCCACTTCTGTAACTATGCATTCCATACACCATTAAATGCACATTTAAATATAATCTAGTAATATTTCGATCGATAATTTGTAATATCGAGTAAAATATTTTTCTATTAAAATTAAAATAACAAGCAAAAATATTATATTCTAATTAAAAAATTAACAATCTAATGAGAGAATATTGATTTTTCTTGAGATATACATAAAATATTTTTACAGTCGTACAACGCCATTTCCGATAGTAAAAAAGAAACTGATATATGAAATACAATTAATAAACATCATAGCAATTAAATATTACCAAGCTTACTATATTTAAATGATGACTATTACGAGAAGATATCTCTCTAAATAAATAATAGCACGAGAAATTATAAATAATTGACTAACAATATAATTCTTTCTCGTATCGTACTATGAATGATAGCAGCTGTTCCTTCGTGAAGTTAGGTCTTCAGTTAGTATTTCCGGTATGCACTTCCGTTTATTTTGTATTTCCGGTCCGTACTTCCGTTCATTTCGATTAACCAATAAGATTCGATTATCGTAACAGAGCATTTTAATTGGATGTTATTCGATAGGTCGATTATTTAAAATCTGGACAAATTTTGATTTTAACAAATTTTTAATATTAAATTAAGACAATTAAAAATGATTATTGTATTAATTATTTTATTCACATTAACAATATATGTTTATTTATCATTAATAAAATAGATTTTTATAATTTTTTATTGTTAAATTGGAATATAATTCAACCATAGAATATATTGCTGCGTTGTCAAATATCCTTAAGAAGAGATTTGGCAATGTGTCGATCTAATTCCTAGATCGTAAGGGAAACGGTTGGAAGCAGTCCAAAGGAAGCAGTGAGATCGTTGGGTTGTCCTTTATTTTTCGTTGTGCTCTAAAGCATACTAGCATCACTAAAATGGCGATGGGAACAACGCAAGGGAAGGCCACCGGGTGGCCGAGGAGAACTAGTAATAGTTCTTTTGAAGGAAAAGTTGTACAGAATCTAACTATCAACAGGACAGTTAATTTGTAAGTGAGCAGCATATACGTGATTTAATCACATTATTTTCTAGAGTAATCTCCTTTGACTGCCTCTCCTATAGAACAACTATAGCCGGGTTGAGAGACGCTAGCGATAATACATACTATGTTCCTAAAGTCTTTTGTTATACTATATACGTATATATGTGTATGTTACAATCATGAGACGGCTGTTCATCCTTTCGTTAAGAATATTCTCTATGTTTATGTAAGCGATATCACAAAACTTGTGCGCGCGTTATTTATTCATTAAAATTAAATCAATTCTTTATCATATATATTTATTTATTCTTATATATAAACTATATCATTATAATTTTTCAAAGAATACATGGTATATCGCTTCATAAACAAATTAACGCACAAGTCTTTTCTTAATACCATTCGTTTAAAACACTTAGGATTGTATTGAACTTATAATTTTTGCGTTCGTTGCACGATGTATTATTATATACTTCGAATGAATATTGCCTGCTTTACAATCATTGAAAGAATTGAAAATACACACAAAAAAAATAATAATGAATAACCTGTTCTTCGGTAATGTTATTTCATCAATGTAATAATAATCATGGGTACGGTTGAAAGAAAATATTCTATCGTTGTTATGTTTCTTTGATGAATATAATATATATATATTTGATCATGTTTTCATATATAAAAGCCTGCACAATTATAAATATAAAACTTTTTTTGTACATTCATACATTGTCTTATTGTATTACTTTGTTATAAATGTATGGATGGAACAAGCGTTATTAATTTTGTTAATTAATAGTTTCCGGACGTGTCCTGGAAACTTTTAATTGTTGTATAGACTGAACGGAAATTAAAAGACTTATTAACGGTTTCCTACTTTTTAAGTAATCTCATCTTTGTAAAGATTTAAATAAGAAAGAGAGAGAGATTAATTTTTTTGTTGGAATACATAAATCATAATTATATATGCTCGCTAAAACGCAGCTACGTATTCTATATCGAATACATTATAGATCGTTTATGTATGTATATACCTGATAACAACTAGGGTATATTTGTTGTTACGCATTGTTATTTATTTAAGTTACGAAGAGAATTGTATCGGCTAATTTGTTTTTCAAGTTTCAGTCTATTATTGGAAAGGCTTGTTAATTATGACTATTAAACTGAGTTTTTAAATACTATGCAGGATCATAGATCACATGATTTAAATCAGAACTAAGTTACAGATTGATGATATTTATAATCATTTTTCCAAGTACAATATTGCGATGTCTAACAACATTGCTGTCTTTAAATATAAAAGGGAAGGAAGGTATTTTATAGCTTTCCTTATTTTTAAATAATCGTGTTGTAAAATGTCGCGATAAATATTTATGTAAAAGATAGATATGTTTCAGTGAGTCTTTCTAACTTACAACCATCCTTCGTGGGTATCAAAGCTATCATTATATTTTTTTCCAATCTGTTTATATCTTTTTATTACTACGTAAGAATACATATTTGAAATATGGAGTATGATTATTAATTTGACATTATGTATCGTGGAAAGGGTAATGCTACATGTATGTAGATATAAGAAATTATCGGTACTGTTATGTTTAAATTGGTACCGCAATATGTTTAATTATGTAGATTACATTTTTTATGAATATGAACAATAACACATACGTAATTTTATTGGTGAACTTTTCTTCTCTTTTTTTTCTTCTTCTAACATAAACAAATGTTTAATAAGTTTGGGTATACTATATACATATATATATATTTCTCGATATTTTTTCATTTTACACAATAACTTTATAAATATGTAAATTAATTTCTTAAGAATATTGTTAATCGATATAGATAGCTTCAATCAATATAAAAATTTTAAATTTGGTATGAATTAATTCGATACTCTGTATAATTTTTTCCATTATAAGATTATTATTTAACTTTATTGTTTTAATATATATTCATAATTTTTATATAATAAAGGCAGAAATGTCTTTTTCAAAGATTTATATAATCTGCATATAGAATCAATTAAATATATATAATATTTATTTATAATTATATTAAAATTAAATTCAATTTCATAAAAAATTAGGGAATTGTTAGAAATTTAAAGTTTGTTGCATTGTGAATACTTATGTTATCATTATTATTATTATCATTATTATTATTGTTATTGTTATTATTATTATTATTATCATTATTATTATATTGTATGTTGCCCTATCACTTTAAGATATAATTTTGGAGAAGCTGAGTTTACTTGCTAAAGATTAAAGAAGTAAGCCTAACAGACCAATACAACTCATTTATCATAGATATCCTTTGACAAACTATTCATTTGGAACAAAAGAGCCACTCTTCGAGAAAGATCCATCGGTGCCAGCAAGGTTTCAACGTATGAGAGATGAATTTGACAAGATTGGAATGAGAAGGAGCGTGGAAGGAGTACTCTTGGTTCACGAACATGGATTACCCCATGTTCTGCTGCTTCAATTAGGAACGACATTCTTCAAATTGTAAATATTTTTATTTACCATATTATCCCTTGCTCTATAACAATATGCAAAACTTATGATATGCTTTATAATTTAAACATAAGAAATATGAAATGTAATATTGAATATGGCATGCAGCTCAGTGCATTAAATCATAGTGCAAGGGGTTAATCTAAAAATCTATTAGTCTATAGAATTTAATGAATAATTTATTCGTTATTTTTGTTTGTTTTAGACCTGGTGGAGAACTAAATGCAGGAGAAGACGAGGTAGAGGGCCTAAAACGGCTCCTTACTGAGGTAACAGTTACCACGACGCCTTATGCTGCCTTACAGGGTGGCTAGGAGTGGCACTTTAATATGTTAGATTGTAATATTGTCTTATTATAAACGTATATTGTATGAATTTAAAAGATGTATGTAGAACTTATGTAACCGGGCCTGTAGCTCAAACTAGGGAATTTTCATTTAACTATTATAAGAGGTATTATCTATATTTTTAGTGCGCTGCATGCCCGGAAAAATTGATGTTCGTAGTAGTTACAAGACAAAGCTTATAGGATGCTCTGGTTAGCTAAGAACATTGTTCTTATCCAGCTCTCTTGTATATGTAATATGGACGTTAAACAGACTGGATATGAAGATTGTAAAACGATAAGAAAGATTGTATATTTAAATTTTATTCTTGGATTTTTTTTTGCTTTAAAGTTTGATAAATAACTTATTAAAATATATATAATTATTTATATATATATATATATTGTATATAATGTATAAAATTAAATTCAGTATCGGTAGGCTAACAAAATACTCGATTGAAAACCAAAGCAGGGCTAATGGTTTTTTAATTTACAAAGTAGGTCATTCATTAAACTCGATTAATAATTTTATATATATATATATATATATATTGCCAAATTTGTGAATGTTAGTATCAATATATATATACATGTACAACAGCTGTTTCATTTTCACTATGTATTTTTAAGGAATGCATGTCAGAGGTATTTCTCAAAGTGAATATTTCTGACATATGTAATTAATGTCAATATAATAATAATAATAATGTAAAGGAGGTTGTGCAAGGAACATATTAGGCAACTCTCAAAAAATTGTCCATTACAACAAAAAGAAAATAACAATGTAATATCAGACACTTTCAAATATAATGTAACCATGTTCTTAGTGGACTATAAATGAAGAAGAATGTATTATATTATATGCTATTTTATGAAAATTATTGAAAATGCATACTAAGTGTAATATACTTAAATTAATAACTTCTAGACATTTGGACAACAAGACGGAGTCAAACAGGAATGGCTGATAGAAGATAGTATTGGAAATTGGTGGCGACCCAACTTTGAACCACCTCAGTATCCATATGTCCCTCCCCACATTACCAAACCAAAGGAACATAAAAGGTTGTTCCTTGTACAATTACAGGAAAAAGGTAATATACAAGAAAATCCTTTGTTTTTTATTTTACATACAAATACCATTTGCACGATTTTATTTCTAATGAATTATTTTAGCCCGGTTCGCAGTACCGAAAAATTACAAATTAGTTGCTGCACCATTATTCGAATTGTATGATAATTCTCAAGGATATGGACCGATTATTTCTAGCTTACCACAATCACTTTGCAGGTAAATATTAATTAAATTTTTAATATATAAACAAAATATTATATATCACTTTTATGAATTTTATTAAATCATTATTGAGAATACTTATATGTATATATATGTGCATATATATATATATATATCATTTGCCCTTTTTTCAGATTTAATTTTATTTACATGTGAAAAAGGATATCAAAATAAAAAGATTGGTATATTTTATTTAAGTTAATTATGGTATATTATTATTATTATTATTATTACTATTATTAATGAATAATAATTAAACATTGTATGTATGTGTGAGATGACGGATGCAATACGAAGTTGCTCTTCTATGTATAATATGAAACTTACTATGAATTAAATAATTTTTTTTATGTAGTAAATATTTAATATATCGGTGCCGACTCTCTCCAATTCCTCTATATTTTACATATCTAATATAATTTATTAATATTATCTTCATAAGAAATAAGTTAAAGAGTTAAATGAATTTGAATAATATTATTTGAGATCGATACTTGCATTTTAGTACAATCGATTTATCTCGATTCTGTAATCGAGATTTACTGAAGGTTGTGACGTAGAGTTCGGCTAGATTCGGTATTTTTCGGCTAAACTCGACGTTTAGTAACGGTGATGAAGTGTGGCAGTAGGGAGAGGATAACCTACAAAAATTCAGTGTTTTATATATATAAAAGAAATGTTTTACTGGGACTCATGGTATTCAATAAATGTTTAGTTCGTTGTTATCATCGTAAGAGAAATAATCGCGCCAACCTCGTTAAATTATTGTCATGGGCACCGTTACGTGTATTGCACCTATTAACATTGCAGTCATTAAATATTGTACGTATTTTTTTATATTCTGTATTTATCATAACAAAAATTATAGATACTTTCTATTATAATAGATATTATTATTAAATTATTTTTATATAAAATCAAATGTTTATAACAAGTATTGTTACCAACATATGTTTTCGTTTTTCAAATGTAGATATAAATTATGTTAATTATACTTGAGTTATATTCATATATATGATAATATATACGGACATAATTATATTTTGAATAAGTTCTCGATAAGATTATATTGAAATTGTATCTATTTTTAAAAGTCATCTTTGACCTATTTTTCAACTACAAGTTTCAAATCATTTAAATATGAAGTGACTGGAGTATTTTATTATAATGACAGTGAAATATGATATTTGTATTATGCATTACGAATTATATAAATTATTGAAATATTCTTTTTTATTATCTTATAAGATTATTAAATATCGTCGATATTTAATTAATTTATTTATGGTTTATTTTCAGGGGGTAAACGGAACGAAGTTTTAATCTTACCTACTAATGATTCTATAAGTTTAACTCTGGATACAGAACAGGTAATTTTTTATGATTTTTCTTTTTTTCCTTCTAATAATAAATATGTAAATTATATGCATTAATAATATTCATAATGAATATTTATTGCAGCTATGTACAAAAACAACTGTTATGCTCAGCAAAGATTTCAAAAAAGATCGCATATGGTTAAATGGAGTGTAAGCATTATTATTATTATTAATTTTATATCCTTAAACAAATCGTGGAATTACAGTTTTATATTATTTTAATATTATTTATTAATTTATTTCAGTGAAGAAGATATTAATAATCCCAGATTGCAAAACTGTTTGTACGAAAGTAAGTTCCTTAAATATCAATGGAATGATTTATTTTATATATGTGTGAAACTAATATTATAATAAATTTATTTTCTCAAGTTAGGAAAAGAGCGAAGCTTGTGAAAGAAATGATGAATTGGAGGCTTCATATTTGTTCAGAAAATAATTTTCCAACTGCATCCGGGTTGGCTTCCAGTGCTGCAGGATACGCGTGTCTCACTTTAGCTCTTGCTAAACTGTACAGAGTAAAGGTAATTTGTCTATTCAAATATAATTATGTTATTTTCTTTAACTCTTTGAGTGTTACGAATGCTTATATGAGTTCTTTAATATTAATGTTAAGAATGTAATGTCGATTCCTACAAAGTGTTTTGACCAAGAGTATTCACCGCTCAAAGAGTTAAATAAAATTTATTTTTTTATTTTTAATAAATTTATAATTTTAATTTATTGGACAAGGGTGATGTTAGTATCATCGCACGAATGGGATCTGGTTCAGCATGCCGAAGTACTCTAGGTGGTTTTGTGAGATGGCGTATGGGAAAATTTGAATATGGCACTGACAGCATAGCAGAACAAATAGCACCTGCATCCAGTTGGCCTGAAATGAGATGCTTAATATTAGTTGTGCGTATTCCTGTATTTTAAGATTTGTCCTTATATAAATTTAACGTTGTATTTAATGATAATTTTTAATTATTATTAATGTACATGCATTCAGGTGGACGACGACAAGAAAATGGTCTCTAGTGCTGTTGGGATGAAGAGAACCTGGGATACCTCTGAACTTTCACATTTCCGTGCTAAATATATTACACCTCAGCGAGCAGACCTATTACAATCTGCTATTCTGTCGAAAAACTTTAATCTTTTCGCTGAAATTACAATGAAAGAATCCAATCAAATGCATGCAGTGTGTTTAGATAGTTATCCTCCACTTGTATACATGAATAATATTTCTTTTGCAATTATAAATCTTATTCATTCGTATCATAACGTAATTGGAAACATAAAGGTATTACATATATGTTTATTTATAATAAAGATTATACGTTTCAATTGGATTCTATTGTAAAATTGAATTATAGGTAGCATATACATTCGACGCAGGACCGAATGCTACTTTGTATTTATTAGAGCAGAATGTTCCAGAAGTGATAGCAGTTTTAGATCATTATTTTCCGCCAGCTAGTAATAATTTGGACAATTATAAAAGAGGCATGCCTATTGAAACGGTACAATTATCACAGGTACATGGAACTGTTCATATTTTATTCCTGATTCTCAAATATGTATAAAATAAATAAAATATTTTTTTTACTTTCAGGATTTAATAGACAAAATTGATAATAAAGTTTACGAACCAGGTAAAATAAAATATATGATATACACGCGTATAGGGGACGGGCCTAAATATCTTGAATGTCCAAAAGATCATCTTTTAAATGATGAAGGTTTGCCTATAAGAAACGCAACTAACGTTCTTTTTTAGTAACAATCTAATATTTATTATTTATTATTAAGCAAATAAATATCAGTATTCGTTCTTTCGCACGAACATTTCATACGCACTTTATTGATACAAGGGACTTTATTGATACAAGGGACTTTATAGAATATACAATTTTTACAGAAAACATTGTTATAATAAATTTAGTACTACCTCATACATACACACACAATACACACATTTTTTTTAACAATTGCATGTAGGATGCATAAATTACAATTAATTAATTACAATTTAATAAATAAACTTAAGATTTTTTGCGTTCAACAGTTTGAATTTGCATTTTTTCTAATAATTGATATAAGGTTTTGTTAACAAATAATTAATTATTCCGAAAAATAATTGTTGATAATATAGGAAGTATGGATATCGACTGAACAAGTATAGTTATCGACCGAACAAGTAGGAGTATCGATCGAGCAAGAAAATAAATGATAAAACTTCGATTCGAATTCGATAGATGTCCCAGTTAGACGAGCGGGTTCTTTCACTTTGACGGTTGCCATTGCACAGTGCATTTTCAGTATGACGCTAGGTTCGGTTGGGTTAAGGGGTGAATGATTCGCGTTCGTTGTTCTATGAGAAGGACGTCGTGTTCTTATAGGTAGAGAGCACTGTACATCGAGATATAGGTAGGGAAGAGGAAAGGGACGGTGAGAGAGGACGAGGTGGAGGAGGAGGTGGAGGAGGGAGGGGTAAAAGGGGGCGGTAGGGGTAGTAGTTTCTGAGAAGGGATCAAAAGAAAGAAGGATGATGTTTAGATTATGCGACACAGTAGAGCCGGTTGTCTTTTGGGGTGATCCTTTTAAAATGTAATATTGACAATTGTTAGCCAACTAAAACTGTTCTTCTTGCTTGTTGGTGGTCCTTCACAAACGGAAGGAAGAAATTGTATTTGAAAGTGTATGAGGCTAAGTTATGACACGGTTCGAGCAAGTTAGAAGAGGTAGGAGTAAAGGCGTGTGGTGTGATAATAGGGACGACGGCAAGGACTGTTCCGTTTTCGTTCTCAGTTTCGCGCGGTTCGCGGATCCGACCACTGTTGCCGTTGCCATAGCCGTTCTTCCGTCCGATAATAATACCAATTTTTGCAAAACTTGTATGCAATATTACCCCGTATTTGCTTCCTCCTCCTCCTCCTCCTCATCTTCCTCTTCCTCTTGGTGGGTTGTGAAGGGCAACACGAGTCTAAAGTCATTAGAGTTACGGGGTAGGATTAGGACATAGGATAAGTTAAAAAGGTATTTGAAGAAGTCGCGGACTCGCCGGAGAACGTGGACCACACAGTCCATTGGACTGTGAAAAGGAGAAAGGAGGAGGAGGAGGAGGGGGAGAAGAAGGTGGTAGTAGAGGAGGGGACGAGGGGAGGGGAGGAGAAGCGCGAAAGGATGAATGAGAAGACAGAGTGCTGAGCGCACTCCTTGGTTCCTCGCGTCTCTTAACATTTGTGTGCTGCTTCGTTTCTTCCAAGAACGAGAGAAGCCCAATAGGACGAGTATATAAGGTTCTTTCGGAGAGAAAAAAAAGGAAAAGAAAAAGATAGAAACGACTAACCGAAGACAACGACCTGTGGGGACGACGAAGAGGTGGAGGAGGAGGAGGAGGAGGAGGAGGAGGAGGAATTGTATGCGAAATCGAGCGAGATGTGGGATCTTTGGTGTGCCTTCTTACTACCGTGTCTACTAACTTGAATGCGTGATTATTCCTTTCGCCTGAGCGGTTGGCCGTCCACCAACCTAAAGCTACGTTCACAAACAATTTCTACGTTTTTTTACGTCGAACCGAATCCAAGCGGTTGATGAGAACCGATCGAGTTCGATCGTCCAATCAGCTGTCGGGTATGTTTAACATTTATTTATATAATACTCTTCTTCTTCCTCTTCTTCTTTTTTTATTCTTATTCTTTTTCTCCATTTTTTTTTCTCTTATGCTTCTATTATTTTTCTTTTTTTTTGTAATTTAAAAAGATATTTAAAAAAGACGTACCTTTTGGCATAATATCGTTATCATTTATGCAACGATAGATCTATGTGAAGTCGCATTTAAATCTAACACGAAAGAGCGCGGCGGTGCATTCTCTTAACGCACGTGGGGTAAATGGAAGGTGAAGGTAAACGAAATAGCTCGAGGATTCGACTTTTTATTTCCTTTCCTTTGATTCGTTCATTATACAGGGTGTTTCGATCGAACATTATCTTCGTTTTATTATTTTATACAATAATTAGATTCATTTTGATTTATCATTGAGATATAATTAATCATTGATCGTGATTTTTACTTATCGTCATTTCATAATTTTACCATACCAAGAGTACAATAAATTCTCTTATAACGTGCCGAAAATATGGCCGACACTTGGTTTCGTACAAACGCGAATTCATGCAATACCAATTCAACGTGCAATTATACATTTTATATTGGAATTTGTTGTATTCAATATTATATCAAAATTCAATACACTATATAGAATAATTTCAACTACATTTCGTGATCGTTGATATTAAAGTTAATCGTTTCGAAAAATTATACACATATACATATATATATATTTTTTTCTTTTCTTTTCTCGATGTATAATTTTGTGAAATCGTAATAAAGAAAAAAAGAAAAAAAAAGAAAAACATATAATAAAAGAAAAAGTACAAATATAAATTGTGGTCCAAGAGAAATAATTATGCACGAAGGTTTATAAGATACACGCGAGATAAATACAATATATCTATGCACACATATCTATATATATATAAATGGCATATGTATCGAAGGTTCCTTCCTTTTCCTTTGTTCCGAGCTTGGAAACCTGTGTGAGAGCACCTTGACGCGTTCAGGTGTGCGCTCGAGATGCGCGCGCGCGCAAAAATGCATCCTCTGTCGTGGTGATTGAACTCGGCATCGTGATGCCGATACAGATGCGCATAGGGGATATGTCTGTATGAACAAAGCGTACATAAGGGATCTACATTAGAGATAGAACATATTCTATTTGTCTTATACCATTAGATTCAAATTATTTTCCTATTCTTTTTATTTTTTTTTTATTCTTTTTCTTTATTGACCAGTGATCTTTTAATTTCAATCGAAATTCGTCATCTTTTTATTTCACTTATATTTGTATTATTTCCTTATTTTCTTTTTAATTGTATATTATTGTGTGTAATTTTTCTTTTCTATGCAATTAAATAAATGATTAATTTATTTGTACATTTTTATATAATTAAGGAATCATCGATTATATTGAATCTATGATTCGTTCTTCTGTTATACCATAAGTTCATAATGGCGAATATAATTTTTCTTTTTTCTTTTTTTTTTTTATATAAGAAAATGAAAGTAATGCAATAATTATGAATATATATATAGATTATTATACTAAATTTGGTGAGATCGCGATTACTCAGATGAATTCGCAGGACGATGAGATACGGGCTACGTGTACGTGACCTTGAATTCGGGGCCACTTGTAGCACGTGTTTCATCCACTACCCCCGTATCTGCTACATGCGAGTCAGATTTTACACATATGCTTTAAGAATTGTACTAACTCGTGATCGAATCACGAGACATGATTCAGAATTAATCGATCTTGAACGATACTCTTAAACAGACTAATTACATTTTTTTCTATTTACTTGTAAATCCTAATTTCAACATTTTTCTTTGTAAAACGTAAAGAGAAAAAAAACAATTGTTCTCAAAGATTGTTTCACTTTCATTTAATTATAATTAGAATTCAAATCCCTTTGTTAATAATCCTACACGATGTACGTGCGAAAGATAATGATTTGATATTTTAAAAAAAAGAACAAGATATACAATTTTAAAAATGAAATGAATATTATATTTTGGATTATTAATTTTGCATGGACATTAATAATTTAATATTTGACTTATGTTAGTTTATCATATTAGAAAATTTGTGATTGTGGGGGGTGGGGTCTTAGAAGTGTCATTTAAAATTGACCATAGGAACACGTGTGATTTTTTTAGCGAGACTGGACGAACGAGATCGAATGAAGCTGGAAGAAGCATGCCCTCTAAGAAGCAGTATAATCTCGTGCATAATGACGAGTACGATACACGAATACCGCTACACAGCGAGGAGGCTTTTCACCGTGGAATCATCTTCCACGCCAAGGTAATAATCACGACCATGATATATTTCCAATAGGCCAATCATATTTTCCCTAATAATAATTAATCATCGTGTATAATATCACCCTTTCTTTTCTGGGGTGTTTGATAATCCCAACCTGAGTTCTTTTACTTTTTCTTTTAACCAAGAAGAAGAAGAAGATGAGAACTTCCATCAATCATAGTTTTATTTTCCATCGATCGTAATTTACAATAAACCAGGAACACACACTTGCATAATTTTTTTGCAAATATATTTATAAATATATAAATATGCATATGTATGTTTTATGTATACACATAATATTGCAATTTAATAACTCATTCGTATAGATTTATAATAATTCGATTCAACGATGCATCTTCTTACACTTTCAACTTGTATCCTGATTTATCATGATACAAGGGAATAGAGTAGAATATTCATAAATTATTCAAATCAATTAATATTATCGGATTGTTACTATCAGATTATCTTCTTGATATCAAGATAAATAAATTACTTAGATAAAAAAAGAAGGGACCAGACATTCGACTAGATTAGGTTTGATTTAGGCTACTTGAATTGATTCAAATCAGCTGATACGAAACAGACCGATCCAATCAACGTGTTCAGATCACCAGAGTTGGTTTTACGACAAGTAAAAGAAGAAAGATTATCTCGGGGTTTGACTTAATGGGATATTAGGATAATAGTAAAGGGTTTTACACATTTTTTTTTTATAGAAAATAGAAAATATATTATTTCGAGAGGATATTCGCGCATGGTGCAACAACCAAGGAGGAGGACGGCAACGACACGAGATATTTTCGGACTATGCCGGTACCGTCGTGATGACGTCATTGTACAAGTGTTTATTTCAGTAGTACACGTTCCAAGAAAGGTCGAAGCTTTTGTGCGCTCGACTTTAAAGCTCATAAAGCTCTCCTTAACTCTCTTTCTCTATCTTTTTCTCATTCGTTTTTACCTAACGCACATTACATACATACGTGTATACGTTAACATATGTACATTCCTTTTTCGTTTGGATAATTCATACAGACAGACAGGTAGACAGAAACATTCGTAAATTTCTTCGAAATTCGAATGAGAATAACCGCGAATTCATTTTTAGTTTGAACAAAATTAGGGGGGGGAACAAAAATAAGTTCGATATCTTTGGAATATTTGAATCGATTTCATTTTTGTTGTTACACGTATTGTCAGAATCAAAATAAGAACTTGCAGTAAGAAGAAGAAGAAGAAGTAGAAGAATAAAAGAAAAGGTGAGGAAGAGGAAGAGGAAGAGGAAGAGGGGGTTCACTTTATCTATTCGCGAGGGTTTATAAGAAAAATTGTGTATTCCTAGGTAAAACGAGTCACTTTAACGTCGAACTATCGATCGTTAATTCACGAATAAAAAGAATAGTAGTAGTAGCAATAGTAATAGTAGTAGTAGTAGTAATAGTAGTAGTAGTAGTATTGTGGAACTAGCAAATGCTAAAGCAATAGCAGCCACCTTTTCAGTCCTTGCGATTTTTCTTACTCGTATACATATACATATGTGGGAGAACTACCACGTGCAACTAGAAACGCTCGAACACGTGGCCCGGTCGTAGCTTCAATGGGGGATTCTAAATACGGATTGTTAGAGGTGCTCAATATATGTGTATGAAAGAAAGAAATACGTTCGTTGATCCAAAAGAAACTTTGGAACGCGGAAACACGAATCTGCTGTTATCTTTTTGTTTCTTCTTTTTTTTATTTATGTAATATGTTAACATATTTGAGAACGAGACATTTTTCCTTGCTAATCCATAACCCCGAGGGCTTCACCTATTCAAGTATTCAATATTTTTCAATTGTTTATTGTTCGCGTCGGTAATTTAACAAAATCATTCTCTCACGTGAAATATTTAATTTTAATAACATAGGAACATTTGTTAACGCCGACAACAAAATGATAATAAATGTTAGCATTTAATTATAAATATATTCTAAACACATAATTTTTAATGTGTGTGTGTTCATTTATTTGATTTGATTTTATTTTTATTCTTTCAGTTCATCGGTTCTATGGAGGTACCACGACCAACTAGCAGAGTTGAAATCGTAGCAGCGATGCGAAGGATTCGCGTGAGTTAGCATAATTTATTCAATTATAAGATTTTCTTTTCGTATGTATATATATATATACAACGATTTTGTCATTTTGTTAAATATTTTTTGATTAGTACGACTTTAAGGCGAAAGGGATTAAGAAAAAGAAAGTGACGTTGGAGGTATCGGTCGACGGGTTGAAGGTCATGCTCCGGAAGAAGAAGGTATGTATACACGCATGCACACATGTGTATGTATATATATAAGTATACATTTACATTACGTTCTCAAATGATGTGCCATTTCGCAACTAAAAACGAAGTGGCGATTTAGAACGAGAAATGGATTTTGGATACTTGCCACGAGTGTATTCGTGTCAATGGGGGACGAGGAGGGGGACGGGGAAGACGAGTCTTTTCACAAAAAATATCTATTATAAGTTATTAATATTTATTCTTTTCTTTTTTTTTCTTTTTTTTTTTCCTAGAAAAAACAACAGTGGATGGAAGAGAACAAAATGTATCTGATGCATCATCCAATTTACAGGTGAGAGACATAAATTACATTATCATATTTTATTTTTCGTATCAATTCGTTTAGAATAATAATAATAATAAATAAATAAATAAATAAATAAATAAAGAAATATAGTATTATATTTAAATTTGATAATTTCGTGGTTTGTTGTTATAAATTTTCAGGATATTCTACGTCTCCCATGACAGTCACGACTTGAAAATATTTAGTTACATAGCTCGCGACGGTAGTAGTAACACATTTAAATGTAACGTCTTCAAATCGAGTAAAAAGGTAAGATAATTAATTCCTTAGATCATTATCGAACTACGACGAGTTTCTAATATCGAATAATAGTCATTAAAATAGTAAGCAGTAAGTAACACTTAGGCAACATTTAATAAAATCAGCTTGTACAACGTTTCCGTTTTATGGATGGGGGAAATCAAATGCAAAACCATGTCTCTACCTATTTACTTCTATGTATTACATGTATATGTGTAGAGACAATTAACCACCTGACTGTGTAACACATTCGTCTTGGCTAACTATCAATTCTCGTCACACACACATTCATTCCCTATAAATAAAAATAATTATACGCATTCTCGCGGGGTGCTTTAAAGAAAGAGAGAAAATATTAAATTGAGACTTCTAACATTTTTCTCTCCTTTCTTTCTTTCTTTCTTTTTTTTTTCTTTTCTTTTCTAATTTTTCTTTCCTTCCTCGCGATTAGATTTACCCTATTCGTATAAAGGTAATTTATGACATCACCTAACTCCGTCATTCTATCGAGTGACTCAAAAAAAAAAAGAAAACAGAAGTAATAAAGAAAGTTCCTTTTACGTGCACGCCATACTCGAAACAACATCGGTGCAATATCAAACTTTGCTTCTATTCGTAAAGTAAAGGAAGTTAGTTCTTTTTTTTTTCCTATTAAGAAAAATCTCCTTTGTTTTTTATTCCTTTCTTTTTTATTAACTCAGACGAGATGATCAGGAAGATTAAAAATTTCGAAAGATAAGTTTGTGATATTTGAAAAGATTCTTCTTTTTTTTTTTATTTGTTCGAATGATACGATGAGAATATAGTGACGTTTTAAAGAGACACCTGTACTAAATTCGATACTTGAATGATATTTTTTTTGTATTGAATTACGAGAAGAAGTGGTCGAAATTCATACACGGAATTTCAGACATTGAGAATAGACAGAGAAAGTGAGAGGAAGGCTAAATGTATATTCGTGTGTGTGTGTGAGAGAGAGAGAGAGAGAAGATATTAATGCACTTATAAATAAACCAGAGGAAAAATCAGCTCACCACGAGCCGGTTCACATTGTGCTTCGTGCTGCCGAATCGAACACTCTTCTTCTTCTCACTCGGTATTTCTGGACGAACTCGGTTACTCCAATTTTACTTTAACATAAGTGTTAGCCTAATTTTTCAGTGTATTTATTAGTGTGAGAGAAAAGAAGAGGACACCGTTATAACAACTTACGTTGTGTTTGAGAACATTGACGTGTAGGAAAAAGAACAAAAAAAAAATCCATATATATTTTTAAACAAGTTATAAAGTGTTTACGTTACCACTACTACTCGTCATTTCGTGCTGTCAAAAGTGTTTAGTATAACATTCTTCGATGATCTCTGATATAATATATCTTTTTAATAACCCTTTTTCTATATATCCGAACGATTATCAATTGAAAATCATAGAGATTTTAAGTAGTTATTGAACTAAAAGATTTGTCCAAACCTTTTTCTTTTCAATCGTGAATCGATCAATTGCAAAAAGTACTTTTTTTAATTTTATTTTTAATTTTTTTTCAAGAACCCCGATACTATGGAACACAATTTAGGAAATTTTGATATAGGTAACACACATCCATGTATATATATATTATATAATTATTAATTACTAATAAATACACAGGCCAATAGAATGGTTACTATAATTAAATATCTTTATTAATAATTTTGTTAAAGGTAACCCCATGGTCACTTAGTTGCCAACCCAATATCATGATCATACCTTATGTTGTATATATTTATATAGATGCGTGTCGGAAAGAAAGGGTTGTTAAAAACGATAATGAAAGTGTGAGAAGAGATAAATAAATGTGTTGTTTGTTGGCAGTGTTGAAAATGTTTGTGTAATCGAATCGTTGGATGGTAGTATCGCGTTATATATCGGCTATAGTTTCGAAGGAAGTTACGAGCGAAACGATTTATCGATTCTTTTGCCATCGGCTAAAGAAAGAAGAAGGAAGGAGTTCACCGATGGAAACGGTGTTAGGTAGCCATGCATTTTAACCCCTTATACCAGTTTCTTCCTTCTTCGTATACTCATTATTTTTTTATCTCTTTGCATTGTTCAATTATCGTTTTTTTTCTTTCTTATTTTCTTTTTCTTCTTCATATTATATTTTAAACGATGATTTAATCATTAATTGCAAAGATTGATCTTATATTTGTTGTAATATAATCATAGTTATATATATTTTATTTATTTTTTCTTTTTAGTTAATTTCAAATGTAACATTTATTTTTTTTTTTTAGGACGCGTACGATTTATTATTTTTTTCTTTGGCTTCATCAATATCATAGTCGTTTTAATAAGAAAAAAAATGTTAATTAAATATTTAGATGATTACAAAGAATTTTATAATTAGAGTGTTAGGGAGGGGGAGCATGAAACGAGAATATAAAAAAGTAATGTGTATAGAAAAGATATGCATAGATATATTCGTTGTGGTCTTGCTTTTGCGTGTATGCGTTAGTTCTGCTTGTTATTCCAAACGACTGTGTATCCGGCATACAAATAAACCGAGATTGTTTACTCTCATAGCATCGGGAGAGATAATTTATTTGGTACTCTCGTGAATATACACCTCTAATTCCAAGACTTATCTCGTGCTGTTTAATCTTATTTGCGTATAGGAAAAAATTATATCTATTCTATTAGATAAAAAAAAAGACATATATGGTATGATAAAAATTTGTAAAGGGATAGAAAAGAACAGGACGATAGTTATGGTTCAATTTTAAATCAAATAAAATAGTTGTGTTGTATACAATGTGAAAAATGGGCAAATGAAATTTTCATAAAATGCAGAATTTTATTATTTTAATTATTTATTAAAAGAAGATGAATTGTTTTTTGTTAAACGAATAAAAATCATTAATCTGTGGGAATAATTTGAAGTAAATGAATTATTTGTTTGTAAAATTGGTAATACAGAAATCTGTTAGAAAATCGATAACCATAATTTTATCCAATATGAGGTGTAAAATCGTTCGATTGCAAATTAAATATTAGATTAGATTAACCAGAACGAAATGTTGAAAAATTGGACGAAGAATACGAACGCCGGCGTTAATTCAACGACCTTGGCAAATCCTATTTCCGGTGGTACTTCATCTCCGAACCATTCTGCAGTTCCGGAATGCGAAAATTCTCTGAAACCACGTAAAAAGCTTTCCTTTAAAGAACCGGAAACAATTTTGAATCATTTAAAGTTAAGGAGACCGTTCGTTCGAACTAAAAGTGCATCATCGTTGCAACCGATTCGTTCTGCTTCGGTTGACGTTAACATCGATGAAAATCCTTTTGAGGATGAAAACGACGAATACGAGGAACTCGAGGTAAAGACAATAATACAAATTTTTATTTAGTTAACAAGCATCGTAGAAAATAAACATTGCAAATGTTCCTGATTTGAACAACAATTTCAATAGAGAACGTTTATAAAAATGATGTTAATCCTTTCGTTACGAGTGTCTACTATAATCAGCAAGAAGATTCTACTTTACCTTCTATTCAATTCATATTTAAATTAATCCTATTAAAAAATATATTTTAAATACGCGTAATATATAAAATAATTCGCCAAGGTGTTGTACAAGTTGAAAAACCTTTCGTAACGAAAGGAATTCTCATAAAATTACATTATAATATACGTTATCAGAAACTCGTCGTAAATGTTAATCTCAAATGTAAATAGAATAATACGATTTTTCAATTAAATTCAAAGAGTTTGATTTTATCAGAGCCAAGCGATGAGGGTTGTTAGAACCGTTGGCCAAGCATTCGAGGTGTGCCATAAATTAAGTGTAAATAATGCTAACGACGATGCTAGAGATCGTGGGGAAAAGGAAAAGGAAAAGGATCATAGCAACGAGAACCATCGTGACGTTTACGAGGAACAAGATGAAAATACTTTAGAACAATCGCAACCATCCCCGTTGACGTTGCACAAAGGTATATAGAATTATTTTATTTTGTAATATATTTAATACATAATATAATATAATATAAATATATATATATATATATATACGTGTGATATAATTACAGACATATCGTTGTTGGGAGAAGCAGAGGATTTGATACAAGAACAATCTTCGGTGTCATGTTTTTTAAGATCTCACGATGTTCCAGTAACAACAGCTTCTACCTCACCTATTAGACAATCGCCATCGGTATAAAATAAATTAATTTATTTAATTGATAATAAAATAAACTAAGACATTTTGTGTTCGAACAAACATTTAAATATATTTTTAATGTATTCCAATAGGGTACAGTAGCATCCGATTGTGGAGGTGGGGGTGGTGGTGGTTTATTGATAGGAGGCGAGTTAACTGCACTCAAACACGAGATACAACTTTTACGAGAAAGATTAGAGCAACAGAGTCAACAAACCAGAGCTGCAGTAGCTCATGCAAAACTTCTACAGGATCAGCTTGCAGCAGAGACCGCTGCACGCATCGAGGCTCAGGTAATAAAGTTAGATATAAATTTGACGATTGGGGTTTTGGGGAAATTAACTTTGTGTCGATAAACTATTACTACACCGAGAAGTTAAATAAATAAACGATATCACATTTTTATTGATCTATTTAAACGTTACTAATAATAATAATTAAATATTTGTTCATTTAGACGCGAACGCATCAATTGTTAGTGCAAAACAAAGAATTGTTGGAACATATAGGAGCATTGGTTGGTCATCTCAGGGAACAAGAACGTATATCCAGTGGCCATATAAATACGCAATCACAAATGTTGTCTGCATCATCTAATACGACGACGACGACGACAACGACGACAACTGCGACAAATCATCAACAGTCATCAACCATTCCTGATTTACCTAATCTCGGCCAGGTAACGTTCTACCGAATCCCATGAAACGAAAACAAAAAAAATGGGGGACCAGCAAATCTCATTCGTCTGACGCCTACTGTGCACAACAACGTTGCATTTCCCATTAACGTTTTTTAACCCGATGCATTTTGTAATTGTTTTTTTTGTTTTTTTTTGTTGTTTTATTCATCACCGTAACAGTCTTTTGTATCGAGAGTCTTCGTCTTCGTCTTCTTCTTCTTCTTCTTCTACCTTTTCTTTTTTTTTTTAACTTTATAATAAAACAATTTACATACAACTTTATACGTTTTGCATCCAACAACAACAACAACAATAAGAACGTCGTATATGTCCTCTCTCTTAAATTCCGAGTAAAAAATTTGCTATGCGATCAACGTTAACTAAAAATATGTGTTGCTCTTGAATGAATATTATGCGATATACCGTATTGTATTGTGTCTTTTAGTTTAACGTTTTATTTGTTCACGATCGAATCAAAGGATTTACGCGTTTACGCGTACGCATTGTTTTGTTACTTTAGTCGAATAAAACGCGTACGGCATGCCGCTTGCAAACAAACAAACAACCAACCAACCAACCAACCAACCAACCATCAACCAACGAGGACAGGTTTTTCCTTCATTCAACGTTTGAAAAACAACGGAGAATGTTCTTTTGTTTTGTCGAGAGAGAAAGAGAGAGAGAAACTCTAAAATAGTTTTAAATATTCGTTTCTATTTTACATTAGAGCTCTTTCTTGGTATAGAAGTTAAACGTCGTGGAATTTCTAAACAAAACTTCTTTACCACTAACAATATTTTCTTTAACAACGTTTTACGAGACAGATGCACGCAGCATATTGTCGATTTATCTATCATCCAGAGCCAACTATGTTTATATATATACTTGACCATCATCATTTTCATCATCATTTTCATCATCATCATCATCATCGTCGTTATCATCATCATCGACATACACACATACACACTCATACAAATATTCCAATACACATTTTGGAAGATTTTGATCAATGTTTTTGCTTACTACCGATCAAAATCTTCTCCCGATAAAATGTTGTTCGTGAAAATGGTGAAATATTAAAAGCTAAACCGCTAATACAATAATTCTGCTAAGTGCCAGTATGACGGTGTTGTCCGACAGGTCTTCGCACAAGATTATGGACTTCTCGCAAGCAATAAATGCTAGGTAATGTCTTTTGTTTTTTTTGCTTGATCGTTTATTAATTGAAATTAATCAAACAAAATGGTGATAATCGTTTTTCTTTCTTTTTGCTTTTATGTTTTAATATATCAATGTTTTTTTTTTCGAATTTTCTTTGTTTTCTTTTTTCTTTTTTGTATACTATTATCGTATACGTGTACGTGTATGTATAATAAATATTAATAAATGTTACAGTTTCGGTATGTGTGAGTTTCATTTGCACGGAAACTGTATACAGGAAAGTACTACGTCCTGAATTTTAATGAAATTAAATGAATTTTAATAAATATTAGTTTTATCGAATTTACGACGTGTAATAATATTTGATCTTATCAAACAGTGTTGCCAACGAAGCGGAGAACAAAGTTTATCTTGGGAATCGGATCCATCGGCTTTTACATATTGCCCATATTCTATGGATTCTTTGTATCATCCTGGTAGTCTCGGTGTTATGGGAATTCAAGGAAACAACAGTTCTACGGATCAATTACATTTCCAAGCGCAATTAATGGAAAGACTTCATAATATAAGTCCGTACCAAAGTCAAAGATCACCATACGGTACGCCGTCACCATACGCGATGCAACCAGCAGGATTTTTATTGTCTCCTAATTCCAGGCCATCCGTAAGTCAAGAATTTCCATAACAACGCAATACAAACGTTTATTCAAATCTCTGGTATGCATTATTGGTATGTGCATTCACATGGTACGTTGTTTTGTTTTATCTTTGCAGAACTCGGCGCAACTTTCACCAAATTCAATATCACTGAGAGTCTCTCAACCCAATAGTTTCACTCCGTCACCTGTTATGAATCACAAATTGGATAATTACAGGACAACAGCTACGAGCATCGCGGAAAATGCGGATATTCAACAAGCGTCGTTCATTAAACCGTTACCTTGTAAGGCCAATGATCACAATTCCTCATCGTTAGATATTAATAAGATCAAACAAGAACGTTATTATAGTCAAGATGAGATACCACCGATAGTTTTGGATCCACCACCGCAAGGCAAACGTACGGACGGGGGTACCATTGTCAAAGAACTGCCCATCAAAGAAAATTCTTTAAATCCTAATAACGAAAAAGGACAAGTTCAGAAAAAATTAACCGCTATGTTACGTTCCCCTGGTCCACCACCAACTCGGACAACCAGTGCTCGTCTACCACCGAGAAATGATTTAATGAGTCAGGTCAAAAGGACAACTTGGGCACGTCATACTACGAAATAATTGACATACACATATATTTCTTTTTTCTTTTTTTTTCTTAAGACTTTAAACGAATAACGTCGTTAGTCTTGTATTTCACTTGTGCCAAAGGAATTATGCACAGCAACGGTCGCGCCAAGTTTTTTTAAATATGTAAATAAATCCTTTGTATTACCCTGTCGAGAAAAAGAGACGAACATGCGGACGGATATAGATTATTATTTGTATATACATTGAGAACAAAAAAAAAAATACACGTGTATTTTTTTGGCACATAGATTTGCGAGGGATAATGAATTTCTTCTTCTTCTTCTACTTCTACTTTTTTCTTTTTTTTTAAATAAGAAAAAAGACGCGTACAAGAGATGATTAATCTGGTTAATATTATTCCTCGGGCATGTCTATATCGTCGACATATGTAGGCAGTAATCACTTATTTCGTGCTACTGGATGCGTGCTGATGCCTTTTAACACCCATGAGTTAATAAAGTCGGCTTGTATTCATTAGTAGAAATATCATTGCGAATTCCGTTTCCATCAAACAGTACCTTGGTGAATCTTGGTAAAGACGGTACACACTTGAAATCCGTTGAATAATCTCGTTATGGTAATATCATTTTTCAAAAAAATAATAATAATTATAAATCATCGATTATCATCGGACAAATATATTACAAATTCGAACGTAGATTTTCTTTCTTTTTTTTTTTTATTGTTAATCGGTGTCGTATCTTTCGTAAAATTGACGTTAATTATAATATAACGCGCGAAAACGAAGAAGGATAACAATTTAACTGAGAGATTATTTTGTGTAAATCAATAATATGGAAAGAAAAAGATTACCCGGTATATTGAGAAGAGTAAGTAGGATATATTTTTATATTAACGCATTGTTGACCGGTCGCAGATCAGTATTTAAAGGAAAAAGTTTGAAGTCTCAATAATTAACATTCATTTTTATAAATTACATTTTGTTTAATGTATTTTAAATTGTTACATTTCAATAAATGCGAATCAATTTCCTTCAAGCTTTTTCCTGACAACTAAGAGACCACGTTTTACAAATAAAATACTCACCGATATATATTAAATCATTATTAAAATAATTTCATTAATATATTGTTACATTTTTTTCACGTACAATTAGAAAATAATAACCGACTGACTGATAAGGAAATAAAATTCTAAATAATAATTGCTGGTCAACGATGGAAATAAGATTGAACGTTAAGATAAATATTACAAATTTGTTATTATCTATCCTTGACTGAACATTCCCGAAGCTTTCGATTTCCATTGAACATAATTAAATGAAATTAGAAGGTGTGTGGGTGGGATCGCGTGAGAGAAACGAAGGATAATCGAATATGGTATTAGATAAATCCTTAGGGTATAGGCTTAATGTTTTTTAGAATGCTCGATCGTGTTATCGTTAATATCATTGAAAAAGAAACGATGTAAAATAAAATGTGAATGCTCATGGGGATTACTGGACAAATTATATTACATGCATAATTCTAGTAATAATTTTACTTGAAAAACAAACATATGTATTACACGTATCTTCCTTCGTTTCTTTCTCCCCCTACAAACTTCCCCACCTTCTCGATTTCAAAAAAAAACACAAACCCCTTGTTGGAAACTTTGAGTAGAAAACAATACTACTGTTATCTGTTTTATTCGACTTAGGTGATTCTTTTTTTTTCGGGGGTTTGTTAAGAAATCGCGTGTCGCACGTATGTTTAATAGAAAATACGACGATTATTATGGAACTGAAGGGTGGAGTCTACAAAAAAGGACGAACGGTTTTATAAGGGTGTGGCAGCGTCGCGATCGTTTATACGTGCGTCTCGGTATTTTTCTCACATTTGTAACATTAACGATTAATTATCTTCATTTTTGAATGGATCATTTAACAAGTTGCACATGTTTTTTCTCAGTCGATAGTTTCACAATTCTCTTGATGTCATTTTTATGTAATATATCGTTAACATTATTTAATTATTATATTAATTAACGAACACACAGGGTCAAAGGAAAAAATAATTAATATTCTAGGAAAAGATTGTTAGATAAAGGAATATTCGTGTAATAAAAAATAATTTTATTTTGTAATATCACTAACGAGAGGACATTAAAAAAACCTCAGAATTACGTTTTACCAGAGATTAAATCTAACACTCTTTTAGGTTTCATTTTTATTTTCTTTTTTCTTCTTTTTTTTTAGTTTGATTAGAGAGGTGGTAGGACAAATTATAGTTCATTGAAACGAAAGGTTCGTCCGATACACTAACATAAGAGTAGCAGAGATAAACCGATATCGAATAGAAGGTGTAAGAAGGGTGAAATAGGTGCGGTTAGAAGGGTTTGAAAGAAAAGGTTGTCCACTACCGGTATGTTGTCAGTTAGTTCAGTTCCATCGATGCAGTTAGGACAAACCCTTCCTTCTTGCAATAACTTCGATAATACATTGTATATCTAATTTCTTAATTGTAATTCATATATAATGTTCTAATATCGAGATTAAGTATCCAAATCAAATATTTTCGCGTTGAATTTCAAGTAATTTATGTAAAAGAAAGAAAGAGATAAAAGAAAAAAAAAGATTTAACAGGTGTGTAATAATTGCGTCAAATCTCAAAATTAAATATAAAACGTACGAAATGATAGGGCTAAAATGAATTGTAACTAGGTTTATTAATTAAACGAGATAATATATAAAACAGAGATAAAAAACGTGGGTAACTTTAAAACAACAGTTAGCGTGACTAGGTTTCATTTGCTTAAATCCATTGATAAATCGTGAAAAGGATTTTCTTCTTGTTTTTCTATTTAACGTTTACGTTTATTTAGGTAGATACCACTTCTTCTTTATCTTCTTTTTCTTCTTCGTCATTTCCCTTGATCGACAAACCTTCTGTTACATTTTTTAACGTGAAAGATATAAATAAGGAAAGTGTTATGAGTGAAATACGAGAACTGGAGGATGAAAGAACGATGATGAACCAATCGGAAATGTTAAACAAATCATATGCTGGTTAGTAATACGATTTATTTCTAAGTGTATGTGTGTGTATGTTTTTTTCTTTTAGTGTTCGTCAATGAAAATCACAATGAAAGATTCTAATTGATTTTATTTTAGACGAGCACGAGGAACGCGAAGAATGCGAGGAACGCGAGGAAGAAGATTATTCGGCATCCGCATCCGCCATTATTTTAAGACGTAATTCATCAAAACGATTGAGTAAACGAAAACGACGAACTTCTTCACCTTTTACTATAGAGGGTGAAGATGCCAATGTAATTCGAAGACGATCTTCTGCTTACACGAATAGTTCAGTCGAGTTAGTAGTAATCATTTTTTTAAATATTTTATTTAGTTCATTCTCGTTGAACGCGAATAATTTTATCATCTTTGATAGTTAAATAATGTTCGTTCGTTTTATCACATTTAATTTTATTACGCGGTTTTTTTTTGTATTAATCAGCTGCAGTATTTTATTTTATAATTTGAATAGATATCGAATTTGTTTTTCTTTTTTCTTTCTAATATTTCAATAGTGGTATTTTGTACGGGTATATAAATCGTTTGTTGAATAATTATTCGAAACAGAACAGCTGTCTCAGTCGAAGAGAGTGCTGGTACGCAAGAACAAATTTTCGAAAAATTAAAATTACACAAAGAAGTTTTGAGCGGCGTTAAGGAAGAACCATGGGCCTTGCGTAAAAAAATGAAACTGGTCAGACAGGCAAAGTTGTATGTTAGAAAACACGAAGGTGCGTTGCAAGAAAGATTAGCACAAAATCGTAGCACGAAGGACGTGGTTGCTCGTGTTTCTCTTTTGATCACAAAGGTAATACAAAAAGAAAAAAAGAATAAATTTGATCGGTGGTCTCAAAAATCTCATTTTATGGATTATTATTATAATTATTATTATTATTTTATCGTGGAGTAAAATTTAACGAACGATACAAATTTCAATAACAGAAATGGCAATACTTTCGACGAGAATTAATCAATCTTGAAACATGGTTGATACCTTGGGAACTTCGTATCAAAGAAATAGAATCACATTTTGGTTCAGCAGTGGCATCCTATTTTACCTTTCTAAGATGGTTATTTTGGATTAATTTTGTGATTACTATAACTTTAACAGCATTCGTAGCAGTTCCTGAGGTAAATTATTTTATTAAAATTAAATGATTTTATATTAAAAAGTCACAACGTGTTATCCCTTTTTTGTGTTGTATCAGATGCTCATAGCTGACGTTAAATTAGCCGGGGAGAGAAAATTGATGCCGAAGGAAGAAAGCATGAAATCTAATCATTTAATGACGTTATGGGAATTCGAGGGTGTTCTTAGATATTCGCCATTTTTTTACGGATGGTATACCAATTACGATTCGAAGAAAAGTTACAGATTACCATTAGCTTATTTCATCACCAATCTCGTTGTCTATACTTACAGCTTCGTTGTGATATTACGAAAGTATTTATAACAAATTTTATTTGCATTTGCATTAGAGAAAAGTTCGTGTTGGATATTATTTAATAAAATAATTACAAAACCCCCCCAAAAAATCGTACATAATATTCGACGTTAACTTTTTTCATGCAATCAAATTATTATTTCAATCTATAGATTTCATTATATAACAGATGATGATGATGATGATATGTTTCTTATTATTTGTTTGTAGAATGGCTAAAAATTCTCGTTTAAGTAAATTAACGGAAAAGGAAGACGAGTGTGCGTTCTCGTGGAAACTTTTTACCGGTTGGGATTTTATGATCGGTAATCCTGAAACAGCTCATAATCGTGTCGCGAGTATAGTACTTAGTTTTAAAGAAGCATTATTGGAAGAAGCTGAGAAAGAAAAGGATAAGAGAAAGTGAGACAAATCATTAAAATATTTTTAATTTAAATTCGATCAAATTTTTCTCGTATTTGATTTTTTTTCGTTACAGTTGGAAAATAATATTGACGAGAAGTTTCGTTAACGTATCTGTACTTTCTTTATTAACATTGTCAGCATTTATCGTAGTCAAAGTAGTCGCGAGAAGTGCCGAAGCAGAAGAAACTAATAATTGGTGGCGTCAAAATGAAATAACTTTGGTCATGTCTTTGATTTCTTATATTTTTCCAATAATATTCGAAGTGTTAGGCCTTTTAGAAAATTATCATCCACGTAAACAACTACGAGTACAATTGGCACGGTAATAGAAAAATCTTGAATTCGTATCAAATATCAATAATTCGTATGATTAAAATGAATTTTCTTTTCTACAGGATAATGGTTTTGAATCTTTTGAATTTGTACACTTTAATATTCGCGCTTTTCAATAAAATAAGTTCTATGGTACGTATCACAATTTTACCACGTATATTTTCGATAGTTAACGAAAGGGATTAAATTATATTCACAATTATACTATTGTATTTATTATTTGAATTCGTTTAGAAAAATTCATCGATCGAATTAAGGCCTGCCAAAAGAAATTGTACGTTAATACCTGTAGAATGTGTTGGTAATTTAATTGATTCAGAATCACCAGCGGTAACTTTAGCATCTCTTAGTTTAATATTAATGGGAAGTGTTGCTTATGCAAATATTACTGATCATTCGATCAAACAAGATCAATCTGGTGGATTAATCAAACAATTTCTATCGGATGATACTCAGTTCAATTATTATCACAGTGATTACAATTCAAATTCGGAAGAATATTACGACGGTAATCAAATATTCGATAATATTTCAAACGTTAATGACGAATCGAATAATACATGGTCAACAACGACAATGATTGATAATGAAATATTACTAACGACCGATTATAATTTTAACACGGAGACCGATAATCAAAGTGACGTAAATTTAACAGAAAATTCGACGGATAATTATTCAAACGAAAGTACTTTAGTTACGTCAAGTAATGATTATGACATTTACGAAAAATATAATTCTAACACTGGTACGATTAAATTTGATACTACGAACGAAATAAAAGATACTACGACGGAATACAATTTGTTTCAAATTAATACGAAGAAAACTGAGAAGGAATTATTTAACACGTCGAATACTTCGAACAAAACTAACGAATTTGTAATTATTAATAATGGAAATAAACAAATGATCATTTGTTACGAGAGAGTTTGCACAAATCATACGCAAGAAGGTATATCAAATAAAATGAAAAGATATGTGTGTTACGCGTGATGTGTAAAAATGTATAAAATATAAATTATATAATAAAATATTTCTGTGCGTTTTTGTTAGAGGTACCGGTACAAAAATTGGATTTGAAAACGCGAAAAGAAATGCGACGTCTTTGTTGGGAAACGATGTACGGACAGGAACTTGCCAAATTAACTGTTATGGATTTGGTAAGTGAAATAAAAATTATTTTATAATTAGAATTTTATCGATTATTTGATTATCTGAAACTTATCCAAGGTAATGACAATCGGTGCCACGCTTGGTATGGATTTTTTTCGTGCCGTATTCGTGCGTTACATGAACAGTTGTTGGTGCTGGGATCTTGAAAAACAATTTCCACAATACGGTGATTTTAAAATTGCTGAGAATATACTTCACTTGGTGAACAATCAAGGTATGGTCTGGATGGGTATGTTCTTCAGTCCTGGTTTGGCAATGCTGAATCTTTTGAAATTAGGCATATTAATGTATTTACGTTCGTGGGCTGTTTTAACGTGCAACGTACCTCACGAAATAGTTTTCCGTGCATCCAGGTAATTAATTGTTACAATAATATTCATTTCAAATGTATAAAACAATTGTAAAATGATAATTATTCATTCTCGTATAGGTCAAACAATTTTTATTTCGCATTATTACTGATGATGTTATTTTTATGCGTATTACCAGTCGGCTATGCCATAGTTTGGGTTGAACCATCCTGGCATTGTGGCCCATTTTCAGGCTATCCAAGGATTTACATGTTCGCAACTGAAAGTCTCAAAGATAGTTTACCTGAAGTAATCAAACCGTGAGTTTATTCTAACGACATTAATCAAAATATCACATAATTATAAAGATTATTGAAATGAGATTAAAACATGTGTTCTTATTATTCAGATGTCTCGATTATATATCATCGGCTAGTATGGTAATACCATTAATTGTTCTGATGACTTTAATCATTTATTATATGGTTTCTCTTACTGGATCACTTAGGGAAGCCAATAATGATCTAAAGGTGTATAGACATAGTCATTTAAAAAAAACATATTTAATCATTAATCCTTTCGTTAAGACATACTTTGACATGAGTATAATTAAATTACATGTAAATTTGTTCTACACACCTGCATTAGAATCATTAATAACGAAAGGATTAACACGTAACAAAAAAGTATACATGTATATCATATATTATTACATCTGTGAAACATATTTCAGATACAATTACGTCAAGAACGTACCGAGGAAAGACGGAAATTATTTAAGATAGCAGAAAAAAGGCAAAAAGCCATCGATGCACCCTTCACCAGATGGAAACAAATCTTACCAGTTTTGCCGTCGAGTAATTCTAATAAATGTAAAAATTCCACCGGTTCGTATTTGCACGTATTTCGATGTTTTCTCGTGTCATTTAAACAAAATTACGACGAAAAAAAAGAAAAAAGAAAAGAAAAGGAAAGATCGAACGTTTGCGTAATCAACCAGTTTTTTCTTTTTTTTTTTTCTTCTTCTTCTTGTTTTTTATGGTTAAGACGATTCATATACGGTGATCGTGATTGAAAAACCAGACGAGTTGGCGACCAATAAAAGAAAATATTCTACAACCTCGGAAGAAGTTGGTATTACCGATTGCGAACCTGAATCATTGCCACATGATTCAGATTTGCATCACCATCGGCATACGTCTGGCAAAACTTGTCGGAAGGTTCGAGATTCTGGCAGGTATATGGTGCCTCATATTATTTATTACATATATATTTTCTTTTTTCTTCTTCTTTTTACATGTCGTATTTCTCAATTTGAAAACATTTTCGTAGCGATTCTTTGGAATCACCGTCGAACAAGGATGCTATTGCATCAGAGATTCGAATAAACGAGCCTAAGGATGATCGAAAAATAAAGAGTCATAATATTAACATTCGGTAAGCAAATAAACAAACAAAATAATAATAATAATAGAAGAAGAAGAATAAGAAGGAAGGAAGGAAGGAATTAAGGGAATGTAAATTAGATTATTGTCAAAAATTTGATGACGATGAATTAACTTATAAATAGAATATTAAAAGTGGGCACAATTTTGATTGAAGGAATACTGATACATGACAATAACTTATTATTTTGTCCTAGATAATTTTCACGTTATTTTTCTCTTATCATTATATAAAATTATAATATATTCGTAATAAAATTGTTAGAGGTACTTATGCTGAACTAGCAAGTGTCGAAATAATCTAACACACTGAGGTATGCAGTTTCGGAGTCTTTCGTTTTGATATTACGTTTATGGATGACGTTTATGTGCATTAAAAAATCGTCGAAACTTTGCTCGATAATACGAATACGAACAAACGTGTATTAACGTTCGATCAAACATACACACACGCACACCTATATTTATGCATACATACATACATACACGCATACAATTAAGATAATTCCATACGTGGTATGAAACGATGTTTAAGATTTCTTATAAATAAATACTGATCGTTGTGCATCGTTGCATCCTTGATGACGATAACGTTTCGAACAAATGTTTTAATATTTGTTGTACTTTTGTCAATCGTTAATTACAGATTAGATTGAATTGAATCACTTTTAAAATTATTCAAACGTCACTGTATTATTATTTAATCGTCGAATAATACTTTGGTTGATAAAGATATAAAGTTTTGACGAAAGGATAATCGGAATATCACCTACTCGAATCAAACACCATAGTTCTAACTGGTACGTATTTAGGTCTTTTTCGTCTGGTACTCCAATGAAGATAACTATACCATCCAGCAATGATTGCACCAAATGCATTACACGTTGACGAAAATATTAATAATATTGTTAATATACTTTCAACTTCGGGACAATTTAAATCCAAATATTTGACAGCTGATGCTTCGGTTTTAAACGTTGTTGTCATAGTTGCATTTCCTTGTTCTCCTCGTGGCCTACAAACACACGTGGCGTTTAATACGCGTGCCGGTGTACACTCTAATCTCATAAGATGTGCCAGATGCACTGCTGCTGAAATGCAAGCTAATATGCACGCAACAAATGCCGATATTGCGAGCAATGCACTGATTCCCTGTTGAATAACAAACGGATAGTATATTAATGTGAGATATTATTTTTATATCTTAAAGTATTTGTAAAACGAATGAATTGTTTAATAATTTATTATATTCTTACCTTGGTTAACGTTAAACAAACACCTGGACTCATACCTGGATATTCTTTCTTGAAACAACAGAGCAAACATACACCGAAACTTCCTGAAAGTAATAACTGAAAGGAAAAGAAAAAAAAAAAAAGAAATAAATATATACTAATTGTTATTAATTGTTGTCATGATTTAATATACTCACAGGCATTCCACTCCAATAAGGATTATCAGTGATAGGTAAATTTGGAGCCCATAGTAACAACCATAACGATAATGAAATAATTGCTATCCCAAGTATGGTTTGCAATGCTGCCAAACATTTTGCCAATTGTCCATGATAAACTAATGGTGGTAAAAATTTTTGTGCTCCTACAAAAAAACAGACACGTGTGACAGTATATAAATAAATTAATTAATAATTAATATTATAATTAGATAGAAAGTGGTAACACGGAGTCACATGTAAAAACATAGTAATTTATTTCTTTAGTTTAATAATTCTCACGGTGCGTGTAATAAAATTGCAGGACGCTTTCTAATTCGTTCCGTATCACGTTGAAATAATAATTCGTTGAAACGTTTTCTTTTTCTTCTCGCATCTCAAGTAAAAAAGAAGCACAACAGACGGGAACGACGAGGAGGAGGAGGAGTGTTGTTTGATGAAAAAATGTGTTGGTGAAACGGAACGAACGTACTATCCCTCCATACATGGCATCTTAACGTGAACGATCAAGTCAACCAGCTGTCCTTGTCATGAATATCGAACTATCAGTATAAATTCATCCGGTCACGGATTTATTTTCCGATAATTTTATCAATACGTTTGAATTATTATACATGGTTTTTTTATTTTTTTTATTTTTCTTCTCTTCTTTCCTTTTTTTTGTATTCTTTAAGCTTATTAATTTTCGATTAAATTAAAAGCCAACACACGAGCACAATGTTTCCACGCATTCACAACTACCAACTAACGTAAAGCATGGAAAATGTATGGGCTGCCAAGTTTTCATTATCCTATGGCCCCAATGCATGAATAATGGTTACAACAAGAGTTAGTATCTTACGTAAGAAATAACAACCACGGTATAATGGTGTAATTGCATTGCTACGAATTATCACACACGCGTTCTATTTCACATATCAACTAACTTCCGTTATCTAATGTACTAGTCGTCGGTGTGTTACATGCTTTTTTTTTTTGTAGTTTTTTAACGCGTCAATCGTCGAAACAATAATGAAATATTATACATAATGAAAATTTGTTTACATTATTATTGTTGTAAATGAATATTTATTCATCATATGAAAAACTTACTTTGACCACTACGATTGAGTACGATCATTCTACTGTGCCTGAGGGAATTTCTCGTGGGTGTGTGTCGACCTGCTATTTGTGATGCAGCAAGATTAACGGGAACGGTAGTTGACAAACAATTGGCCATCGATGGTGCACGTCCAAGTTCCTTGTCTATTTTATCGGTTCTACATGTTTTACCAATGTTACCCATCGATAATGCACCTGTGTATATTACATTTATTTCAAAAAAAACAAAAAACACATTTTCATTGATAATATATAATAAATATTAAAACTTATCGATTATAGAGAGAAAAAAAATGAGACATTGTTCTATGTGAATTATTATTCTAATTTATTCATTATAAACTCGCGTCAAATTTTGAACTTTTTGCGTTAAAATATCAAACGAACTCTGTGCAATACGAATTAGGTTCTTGGTCATTCTATTTCTAGGTAAAACTTTCGTAGAATCGTACGTTCTAATGACCGATTTTATATCGTTGCCAACAATCTTAAACCACCGAATCGTTAAAGAAAACGATTCAGTTGAATTCGACGTATTTCTTTTTGTTCAAAATTAAAATTACCACGATAAGAGGGAGATAAAGAACTGTTAGAAAATATATTTGATAACAATTGAAATAAAATATAATTTCAACTTACCCGTAACTCTAACAGTGTGAATTTTGGAAACGTTACCAGCACTCATCGCACTGCTAACCCTATTATTATTATTATTATTATTATTATTATTATTATTATTGTTACTAGTTTGCGGTAGGTTCGATGAAGTATTATTATCGTTCTCTCGAACCTGACTCAAATTACCAACGCTCATTGCTGAGGTCACGCACGTTGGCATTATCGATACGTCCTAGAAAAAAAAAAAAAAAATTACAAAAAAAAAGAACAATACAAATAATATGACAAATTATTATTCTTATTACAATAGATATTTTAAAAGTTTCGATCGAATTTTAATTACGAATTATAAACCATAGATTACCGTGTCGAGTAACAATTACGAATTATCTCGACGTTAAATGATATAATTACGATTAAATTAATTGAACTCTTTTTGTTTACATTGAAATCTTAAAAAGAGTACTTTGACAATGAACGTCTTGTAAAAAAAAAAGAAAGGTAAAAGATTAATATCGTAATTGATTAATAATACGTTCGAAGGTGACATCAATGCGCGATTATCTCGTATAGTTTGTTCAATAATAATACGATTCAATTAAATGAACTTTTTTTGTTTTCGTTTACATTGAAATAAAACGAGTTAAATAATAACCGTGACTAAAGTTAAAAGAAAAAAAACCAATAGAAAATCAGAAAAAGAAACAAAAGGATTACCGTGTTCGAATTGATTAATAACGTGTCGAAGAGATTTCAATGCGCGTGATTAAAATCACACCTGTTGCGCGCGCAACAAAACACGTCAACGAAACGTCTAAACCCCCTTCACCCCTTTACCCCCCATTCCCTTTGTCCCCTTATCCCCACGTGTCTTTTTTTTGCGTTAAAAATATGAAAATAAAAATATTTCGATGATTTTGAAAATGATGATTACCTTAAAATTATCATAAAAACTGACAGGACGGCTCCTAGGAGCGTACTGAATAATTTCTTCATCGTTTTGCATCGTATATTCTCCGTGTGACAACGACGACGTCCCTAAACGTTGCGTGCGCAATTCCTCGGACATCCTGGATGTCGTCGTCCCTTCTCCCTTTTTCAATTTTTTTTTTTTTTCTTCTTTTTCCTCTAACTTCCGCTTGCTTTCGCAAGCTCCGCTGAGCACAGACACACACACAGAGTCAACGAGGAGAATCGGAATGAGAAAAACAACGGCTACCTGGGTATTCCACCTGTTTTCTTCTTCTTCTTCTTCTTCTTCCCCACCTTCATTTATTTCTCATCTTTCATCTTTTTTCTTCCTCTTTTTCTTCTTTCGAGATCTTTCTTTTGAATCCACGATTTGTATTTCTATTTATTTTTATTATTGTAATAAATAATTCATCTCGAGAGATACGCGTATTATATGTTATAACATTTAATAATTATCTTTAACAAAAATTACGTATTATACTTTTCCTCGTTGTAATTTAATTAGATTCTATTAAAAAGGAAAAATCTGAAACGAAAAATATAATCTTATTAAATACATAACACAAGAAATTATGACATATATATATTCCAACTTTATATAATCTATTTAATCCTAGATATCTTTACAATGAAAAAAATATAATGATTATTTTATAAGAGAGGAATATATTTCGTCATAAAATTAAAACGTCATTTAATCATTAACTCTTATCGATGATAAACCATATGTAAATTCGGTCATGGGGAATGAAATGAATGTTATGTATGACTCTCCCACACACACATATATATATACATACATATATATGTACATTAATACACATGATAGTGATTAAACATTTAGGCAAACTCGGTGGTACGTTGACTCTGTTTAGTTGACTATGAACGGGACTGTTAACGCCGACGCATTATAAAAGGGAGATGCTTAATAGAGAAATGACTTATTTCCAGGCGAAAGAGTCCAGTAAACGTGTAGGTAGGTAGGTCATGTCATTATTGTATATGTCGGGTCTCTAACCTGGCAAGCAACGGTGCGTTATTGCGTTGCATATCATCTTGCGCAATCCTAGACGTTATTAACTACGTACACACATAATAAACACACATGTGTACATATATAGAAAATTTGTAAGTATGTTTGTAAAAAGATAACTATTGGTACTGTATTCTATCGTTTTAAAAAGTAATATATTTCTATTTTATTTATTATCTTTAATATATATATAGAAAAAAGAAATATTAAATAATCATTAACATAAACTGACACATCATATGAAACGCGAACTAATCACGTATACTTGTTACACAATTCGTTGACAAACTTTTCATTATCTTTCTACAAATATATGATATTTTTTCAAGAAGAATATTTAATTAATAATAACTACACACACGTAATATATATATATATGAGAAAAAAAATGATAGATATTCTTTTTTTTTTTCTTTTCTTTACGTAAGATTCACTTCCCGTTTGGTATGATTCAATATCGTACACTGTGTATATAACCTGGCATACATGTTTGATGACACTACGTTTTATTCCTCGAATAGATCGCTTCTATCACTGACTAGCAATGCATATTTGCGAATGTGTCTACCGGTTAAACACATCTTATTCTTGTTTATTCTTCTACATATGACTAACGTGATCACATTTTTTAAAGTAATACTTTGCCAAATTTTAATACGACGTTTGACACTATTTGAAAGACAAAATAATCTCATTTGTGTTTCCATTAGAGAAAATATCGGATGTTTTTATTTTATAAATAAAATGATTTAAACTAAATTTATGTGTATGTGTGTGTGACATTACCGTGAGAAATTCAGGAAGAACGCACAATTGTAAACGTTGCTTGCTTGCTCGAACGTTACTATGACGAGTATTAAAAATTACGCGCGAGTTTCTGCTTCTTTCTTTCTTTCTTTTTTTTTTTCTTTTTTTCTTTTTTTCTTCTTTTAATTAATACACGCTCGCGTTGGGGTTGTGTTACGTTAATACGATACATGTTATTTTTTAATTGACTTACGTAGAACGCGGATCGTAATAAAAAAAAGAATATATATATATATTAAAATAAAAAAGAAATTATATATATGCTTTGTTAGTTAAATTACGTCTTTTTTTCTTCTTTTTTTCTTTTTTTTATCGAACTATCGTCACAGTGCCAACGTGTCGAGGCAGACATAGAAAAAAAGGCAGAGAAAAACGTTTACGAATATTTTAAAAAAAAAAAAAAAAGATATATATATATATATATATATATTTAATAGACTTGGGGACGTGGTAGGATGGTGGGGGGGGAAGGGTTGGGCCTGCACGTTTAACTTTTTAACGCGAGGAAAAATATTCGACCTAATTATAAGATATGCAGATATAACGTTAATTAAACATCGTCGACTTTATTAGTACATCGAACTCCAACGATTTTTTTACTTATACGTATAAATGTGTGTGTGTGTGTAACTTCCTTTATACGATATTAGAAAGTTAACATTTAATCTGTTATTCCACATTCGTATTTGATATCGTATAATAGAAAATATATGTATTATACGTGCCGGTGCACTTATCAAAAGAATTAACTTTTATTGATTTTTTTTTCTCTTCTAAAGATCTCTGAAAGATGTTCAAATACTTACACGTACACTTACACGCGTTTAATCCCTACTAATCGTAAATTCCTTTACGTACTACGATCCCTCGTTGAATTCTAAATAAGATTATCTTCTTTTTTTTTCTTATTTTCTACACGTTTTTCTAGAATATGTTAATACTAATCTTTAGATTGTCGTATTGAAAAATATAAATCACTATGAACCGGAATAAAATGAATATGGTCAGTAGTATTATTGTTGTTGTTGTTGTTGTTCTTGTTGTTTACTTATTATTACAGACAAATCTATTACGTCACGATCAAAGTACAATCGTCCGAGCCTTTCGCGTCAAGTTTTCCCCCTCCCCCTTATTAATTTATAATTCTAACATATAAGATCAATGTTAACCTTGCACTAGACAAGTTATTTCTTTCTATGTCTTATAGATATATATATATATATTTTTTTTTTGTCATTTTTTTAATTCCTCAAAGATATCTTCTCCTACTCGTAATCATTCAAGTGCAAAGATTGTTACGATAGTTCTCTCGTATTTCTTAGAAAAAAAAAATTAAATAAATAATAAAAACCATTCTATACACCTTACAATGCATTATCTCGTTTATTATTATTATCATTATTATTATATATCTCATCGTTAATTTATTTAATATTTAAATATGTTCGACGCATCTCGAAATAAAAAAATGTGTTTGTGTACTACTCGCAATTAATTATTAAGAAAATAAAAATAATTACGTACGCGATTCCCATTAACAATTATTATAATAATCCCGTTGAACGAATATTTGTTTCCACATATATTTAATATTAATGATAGAAAATAAATATATATTTTGATTAAACACTATAATATTTTCACTATGTTGCTCCGTTAGAGGAGTATGATCAACTGAACGCTCGGCTTCACGAGTTCGTGCTTTCGTGCATGCCTTCCTTCCTTCCTTCCTTCATTCTTTCTTTCTTTCTTTCCTCTTCTTTCCAGCCAACACGTCAACAGGCCCTCCCCCTCCCACCTCCTCCTCCTCCACCTCCCCCCAACAAGGTGTTCTCCAAAGTCGAGCCTCCTCCTCTTGGACACCGACAAACCCAGCGAATCTCATATGTTTTTTTCTTTCGATTACAAATATTTTTTGTTCTTTTCTTTTTTTTCTTTTTTTATTAACAGACAAAACCGCGCCAGAAATTTTACTTTTATTTTATCAGTTGAATACAGTTCCCAACTTTGTGTATACAAATGTACAAACAAATCGAACACGTTTAATTATTGTGTATATCGTATATGTGTAATTATGTTCAAGTCTTCTTGACTGTTTGTATATATGTATGTGTGTGTTTTTTCATATCTCTTTTACTAATTAAAAATAGAAATTAACAAGAAAAGAGATGTAATTAAATGAAATGCAATTGTCGGAGAGACAATGTAAAGCGTTATAATTGTCGATACTCTATTTATCTTATAATTAATTGATACTTTTTATTTTACCTTCATTTTTTTGTTTTTTCTTTTTGCAATTATCTACGAAAAAACTTATTGATAAAGTTAACTTGTTTGTTTTCTTTTTTTTAGATCTGTTATAAGGTAATCGCAATTATACAATTCACAATCTTGTTACGCTGATACTTCATTGAAATTCTAGTTTGTGTTTTTAGATTACGCTATTATATGATCTAGTATCATTAATCGTAAAGTTTTTTTGAATTGTAATTTCTTTATCTATTAGGAAATAAAAATAGGATTAATATTTTTTGATGAGGGGGAGGGGGCGGGGAGTTATTTTCGAAAATGAGCACCGCTGTTGTTCACTTTCACGTTATCCGCGAACGATTCAGAATGCGGACCAATAAAGGAAACCATCGTTTGCAGGAAAAAGGATGTTATAAAAGTTAGTATCGTATCGTGTCAATTAAATATGCATGCACCTTGAACCAATTGCGTATATAATTATACTATTTTGTCTTGTTTTTTTTTTGTTCTCTTTTTAAATCGTTCCTTTTTCATTTCCTTTCTTACGCGTTGAGATTAACAAGTTTATTCGATTTTTTTTTATTGTAGCTTAACACATCCAACTTGTCCTATAAATTTATTTTTATTTTCATTTGTTTTCCTTAGAACTTCCTACGATTAAAAAATAAAAAAGAAGTTAATCCTTTTAGCCTTCGAATTTACTACCCTTTAAAAATATACAATACTTTCACTGTTGTCCTTCGGACATCTATATTGGACATTACTTTACTTTGTAAAGCTTGTTATATCTCTTGAATGAATATATATATTTTTGTATCTTATTTTTTCTTTTACATTTTGACTATACTGAACTGGGATTTTACCTGGCAACTTCTATATTCATCTCGACAAGCCTATGATCGAGTCGTTCGACCGGATTCTCCGAAGTGGCTTCCATGAAACGGTGCTAAGAATTCCTTATCCTCGGGAGAGGACTATTATTTATTCGGGTATTCACACACACACACAGGTAGTTCTTCCCACCTTTACGAATTCATTTATTCTTAACGTATATAATAATACATTTGTTTATTACCTTATATGCGGTCGTTATCTTTAATTAATTTATTATTACGATATAGATTTTTAATAAAGTATCGAGTCTCGATAAAAAATATTAACAAATCTTTATTTATTTATATTTTTGTTTTAAATCAAAGCGTGAATGTGATCGAAAGGAAAGGCTCGATACTTTTCAACCTACGTTTAATTAATATACTATTAAATTTATTATAACATCGTGTTTGACTCCAAAAAATATAAGTCTTTATAAAAAAAAAAGTCTTATTTTAATTGAGACATCATTTGTTTCGTTTTAATAAGCATAAGAAACGATGAAGTTATAAAAATATTATGCATAACTTTTCTATTCGCGCATACACGTACACACGAATATACTTGTTTATATACTTTCTACCTGGTATTCGAGTATTCTTCCAGCTCATTGTAGAAGAATGGCAAGTACGGTAAGATCAAGCGCATTCCTTTTCTTCTATGCATGTGTATATGTATATATAAATATGTTTATATATATATATGTTTCGTTTCAACTTTCAAAACATTCGTTGAACCGCATCCACTAATTTTACAACGCTAATAAATTCTTCCTTATTTCTTTTAAGATATTTTTCTTAAAGAACGGCTTACGGAGAACGTAATTGGTTTTTTTTTAATCTAGTAAGTCTTTTTCCTGTGTACCTGTTCCAAGATAATCGGTCTTAACGAGTAAACTCATTTAATTAATAATTGAAACAATATGTCTATATTAGATTTCTAATTGCTGTATGTTTTTAAATGTATAATAGAATTTAATTACACATTTACTTTGTGTACACTCCTAGTTACTAAAAGTTACTAGGAAATAAGAAAGTTTCAAATATATTGAAA